GGTGGGCGGTCGGCCACCTCGATCACTGCCTCAGGTTGCGCCGCCGCCGCCATCTCGCGCTCCCTTGGCAGGGCGGCTCACCTTCCGAAAAAACCGACTTTCTGTTGGATTGAGCTGACAAGTACCGCGGTCAAAAAGGGCAGATAAAAAGAAGTTCCTCTCGGTTCCCCCAGTCTCGGAGATGCTTCTTTGAGCTTGCATGCTTGACCTCGGGGGTTGGGTTTGTGCGACGTTGCACGGGATTTGGCCCACATTCGGGAGCCAAGTTTGCTTGGCGTTCTGTTCCGCCAATGGCACCGCGAGCAACCAACGCTCGTTGTGGGCCGCTGAGGCGGGGAGTCGGGCGTGTGGTTGGCTAATTCCTCCCACCTTGACGGCGAGGTGTGATCGGCAAGAAAGCCAACCCTCAAAAGATAAACATGGCAACGACCCTCTCAACTTTCGCGTGTCCCTCGTTGTTTGACGTTACAGTCTCTCTGTCAGGCCGGAATACTGGGAAACATTTCTACTCGGGCATTTTCGAGGATAGTTTGGGGATTTTATTTTGCATCGAAGCCAACTATACCGGCCGGCCGGCTTTCAGTGCGTGGGATAGAAGGTATCCGTATCTTACGGAAGTTGCTCGACGCGAGAATCACCACACGCCAGACGCGCTGGACACGCAAACCACGCGAATGGGCCAAGCTCCCGAAGACGCAGAGACGCGCCATATCGCGGACGCAGCAAGGTCTGGAGATGCAGTTCTAGATCCCCTGCTATTGCGAGGAAGCTCGTCGCCGGGACTCTGCCCTGGCGCGTCCCAGACGCCAGCGAGCTCTGGGCCGAATTTGAGCCAGACTCCCGCAAGCCCCAGTACACGGCCTAGCTCACGTGCTACGACGGCAGTGGCGAGCCCAGGCCGTCCACAATACTCTCATCCCGGTTCGGCATCTGAAAGCCAACAGCCGGCCAACATGGCATTGCTCCTTATGTTGCTGGCAAAGTTTTCCGACTTCACGGTAAGCAGTAATACCGACGTAACCAACGCGACTTACTTCGTTGCTGACAGCACTTCCTCCTCACAGAATGTCTTTCTCTCCGGTCTTGTATGTTGCTCTGAGCAGCCGAGTACCTCTTGGCCTTGTTAACTTGCCTAGGTCATCCCGTTGATTCCCACCATGCTCCAGGACCGAGCTCATGTGCCCCATCGACAAGGTACGTGAATCCCAAGATCGAACACATACAGGACACATACCCATTATGCTCACTTCCATCTTTCAGTGCAAATATGGACCTCTGTGCTTGTTTGCGCCTATGGGGGTGCGTATGCAGTAGCAACTCGTAAGTCCTGCTTCACCAAATACGAAAACTTTGATACTGACACAACCTCGGGAAAGCTTTGATCCCTTTCTTCACGCACCGAGGCTCAGCGAACTACGGGGTGTATCTGGGCGGCCTCATTTGCGCCGCTGCTGCTTTGGGCCTCCTACAACTCTCCTTTGACCTCTCCCTATTCGTTCTTGCTCGGGCTCTTCAAGGTCTCGCTGCAGCTGTGACTACCAAGGCATCCACGGGAATCCTGGTCAGCAGAGCCAGCATCAGGGTAACGTGGCTCACGCCCGCCTTCCTCCACAGCGTGGCCATGGCAACAGGTCCGATGACCGCCGGCTTTCTGCACGATTACCACAGTACCCACGCCGTCTTCTATTGCGCCTATGCCCTCGTTAGCCTGAATGTCTTGCTGGGCCTGTTCGCTTTCAACACCTCCGCCGTCACAGGAATTAGCCCAGCCAGTTGTCCGGAGAGGGAGGGTCTTCTACCAGAGTCACCACGGAGCGGCTACGGGACAATTACGTCCAGCGTGGTCGACCACAGCACTGGATCCCCGCGGTCAACTTCCACTTCTGCGCCTCTACACTCGAACTTGGCCGAACGTGATGGTCCTGCTGCGGCAACAGCCTGGAGTCCCCGACTTCTAATTGCCCTGTGTGGGTATCTTGTTATTGGCTTGCTTACCTCGGCCCTCTACAGCGTTCTTCCGCTCTTTGTCCAGCGCCACTTTAACTGGTCGGTGTTCGCAACCGGGTACCTTTTTGTTCCGCTGTCAGCGCCTGCCGCCATTATCGGGCCACTGGCTGGCATCGTGGCCTCTCGCGTGCCTCGATCAACCCGGTTCCTCACCGCTATTGGGTTCTTGGCTTGTGTTCCTGCCCTTCTGTCCCTGGGCCAGCTTACGGAGAACACGACGCTGGTTCGGCACGCTTTCCTCCTCAGTCTCAGCGGTCTGTCCCTGGCAACTGGTCTGTCCGGCGACCCCTTGTTTGCCGAGGTTACGAGAGCCGTGAGGTTCTCTGCCAGCAACCCGTGGAGCGCCACAGCTCAAGCCGCCAATCTTCCAAACGTTGCCAATGCGTTGGGCGGTCTTGTTGGCCCACTCATTGGAGGCGCGGTCAGTTCACTCTGGGGTTGGCAGGCAATGAACAGGTTATTGGGCGTTATTGCGGCAGCCACTGGCTTCGGCTTGCTGCTATGCTTGCAAGGCTGGATTGGAAACCCATCTTTGGACATCCGCTCCCACCACCTCGAAGCCAGCTCTGACGAGGAATCCGCCCCGTTGTTGGCGAACGAGCAATCAGATCGCAATTTCTATGGTCAGTCTGTGGCTTACGGTAGCAAACACGAAGCCTCCAGTGCAGAGAGACAGAACTCGGATGCTGTGTCCCCGCATGCTCGCAAGAATCGCACCCATCGCCGACATTTCAGCGTCGATAACTTCTCCGTTACTACAGCAACGGCTCCGGGCAGCATGGACTCGTCCACATCCTCGGTCCGTTTCCAAGCCGCCCTGGAGACGCCCATGCATGGGCAGCGACCGGGGACCAGCGACAGTGTGTGCAAGGCGAGCACGGAGCGACGGTACGTCATGCGTGAGGCTCCTCATGCGCCATCAACAGACCCGCTCCTGGCTGCAGGCAGCCTCTACGTCATCGACGAGGAACGCGATACCAAGCGCGGCGTGGAAAGTGAGAGGCAGAAACGTCGCGTCGTGGTGTTTGCGGAGGGATCTGCGCCGCCAGAGCTGCTGCAGCGTCACCGCCATCATGTGGTTGCCATCAACGCGCTGGATGGGACCGCGCAGATGGTGTCCGACAGCACCGACAACCACGCGGTGCATGTCACGGAGGCGGCTGACGCGGACGAAGCCGCGTTTGCAGAAGCCACCTGCAGGCGATACGTCGTCGTTGTGGTCGAGGGTGAGGACACCGAGTGGGCGTGAGAAATAGTGACGTGGGCAGAAGTGTGGACGGAGAGGGAAAAGGGGTAATGTGGGTCTGCTGATGTTGACACGACCTGGATTTTCATGTGAGATGATGTATATAATGACCAGATAATGCAGATACCCTGACGACGACATGGGCAGGACTGACTAGCAATCCAAGTGCTCAAATACGATCCTCTGACGTTTGACTTGGTTCGATAGCGTCGGCTTCCTCTGCAGGACGCCCCAGAATCTGCATGCGGGCACAATGTGACAGTCAAATCTGGATGCGAAATGCGGTAAGTTGAACCTCGGAAAGCGTCATGCGAGCTAAGCAATCTGAACTTGAACATGGATGTTGCTGATTCTCGCTATTCTTCTGCAGTGTCTAGTTTGGTTCAGTCGAATTGAGTATAAATCCCTTTCCTGGTCCCGTCCATCTCAATTTCCCATGTCACCCATCATCACTCACCAGCAGGATCGTTTGCCACGAGGTCTTCAGCAACGATGGTGAGCCCACACGCCGCCGTTCTGACACCCCCGCCGCCATGCGATACTTAGACTGCCCACCAGGCTTACACCAGTTCCCCATCGTGGGCATTTCGTGCCACCGCTTTGCGCACCGCTGCCGTCCTCTCTTGGAGACTCTTTCGCGTCTTCGGGAGTTCAAGGGGAACCTGCCAGGCTTCCCCGCCGGCCCAAGCTGGGAATGGCGACCCCCAAGCAGGTCAGACTCAGACCTGGACTCGGAGCCCTTGCCCGCGTACACAAGGTGGGCAATCGAGGCCGAGTGCCCTCCGCCGGCACACGCCGGCCCGCCAACGGGACCCCCTCCGGTATGTCCTTCTCCCCCACCCTTCTCAATCGCCCACTTCGGACCCCCTGCCTAGCTAGCCCTTTCGGCGGGGATGGACTGGGACGAAGCGTTCCAACGCCCTCCTTGTCTGCTTCACGACACGACCCGCCCCCACTGTTCTCTCCCTTTTGCCGCTCTCCACTCCTCCCAGCTAACACCTCTTTCCCCACAACAGAGCTACGACGACTCCGTCAGAGCCGATCTCCTGGGAGGCCGTCTTGCCGCTCCCGCGCCACCTCCGCTTCCGATGTTTCCGTCCTCGGGCGCCGACAAGCCGTCGTCGTGGGCTGGTCGCGTTGGCGCCGTGCCAACGCCGCCGAGGCCGCGGTCGCCACCATCAAGCGCCCGCCAACGCCGTACCACCCGGCCATCGCTTGAGCCACCTGCCGTGCGATACATGCGGCGCATGAGGCTTAGGGCGCCGCCCAAGATTTCGCGAAGGCCGACTGTGGAGGAAGATGAAGAGGATGCTCGTGCTGTTTCTGAGAGTGGAGATGCTCGAGAGTTAACAAGTTGCATCAACAACTTACAACAGCAACAAGCTTATGGTGGATAAAGTCTGATCGGTGAGGGGTCTGGACGGAATGATTGAAGGGGATATCAAGCTGCCTTTGCTGCTTGCTGTTGGAAGATTTTCTGGGTGTCACATGGGGGCCATTCTACCACTGGTGTGCCTTTGAAGGGGTTATTATGGCTTATATGGGTTATCATGCGCTATAAAGGAAGGATGTGGGCGTGGTATGGCGCTGAGTACTGGAAGATACCCTGGGTTTGATATATATACTACGGTCAACCGTCTCATAATTGGAGCCTGTTCATGTTCCCTTTGGAGGCTGATGTTCTGTATCGAATCCGGGATCCCTTAGGTTCTGGTTGAAAGCTCAGCAGTATCGTTGGTAATGTGGCACCGACATATCATATGCACTGCTTTGACTCTGGGGTCGATGGTCAGGGCAAGAGAAGAGAAGAAAGCTTGCTCAGATTTGGCTTAGTGTAACTCACATTGACCGCTAATTATCACTTCATCTTCTCAACCCTCCCGAGGATTCGATGCTGCTGATGATCGCAAGCAGCGCCAATACAACTGGATTGTAAACCGGTCAGTTAAGCACTCAACACAGATTGTAACCGTTGTGTAGGAAAGACACGGACGTACTCGACGAAGATGTCAAAATAGAGGAGGCCACGGTAAATGTGGTCTGGGGGTCCCCCACCCATGGCCGACCTCATGATGCCCACGAGACATGAGGCGAGCCAATGGACTGTCCCCGAGACGGCGATGCGGGCGGTGTTCCACTTCTCGACAGACTCGAATGCGTGGCGTCTATTCCTTCTGCCGTAGCCGAAAGACCCATTCGAGCCATTCGTGCGTGCTTGAAAGCCTGTCCGGGTTGCGGTAGACGTACATTATCTCCTGGAGGACAAAGTCGTCGAACAGGACGACGGTGGGCCGCGTAGTCGGAGTGAACTTTCAGTGTGTCAGAACGTGGCTCACATGCATGTTGCCCAATTCTACGAGCTGAAGGGAGACTACATATAGGGTGTGGCAAAAACGTACAGTGAGCACGCGGAATGCGCGCAGCGTCTTGAGGGAAAAATACGGTCGAAAGGAACCGCACATCTCGGTCGTGTACAGCCGGCGGATTTCCCGGAAGAACTGGTCGTCACTGTGAATGAGATGCGGGTTTGCCTCGAGAACATACTCGGCAGAACGCACTGGACTTGCACAAGGTCGCAGCCCTTGGCGCTGGACCGGTCGCATACCGGGTTGAGCAAACAGGTCGGCTTGATAGTGTCGTAAAAGCCCGAACTTTCAGTTTCCTCGGTAGCTGTTGCCGCCCCCGTGCCGACTTGCTTGTCGGCCAAACCCGGCGTTGCGAAACGGGGCGGCATCTTGTCCACAAGCGGCAAGGTCAACGGGAGGGTGGAGACCGGTAGCGCCAGACTTTCAGTGACCCAAGAAAATAGCCCTAGACGCTGCCGTTTGTCTCCATTCCTGGTTGAACGGGTGCAGTTTGGCTGGTTATGTCCGAGACGCCCGGATCCATGACGACCGGGCGAGAAGCAACTGGTTGTGGAATGGGCGGTGCTACGTCCACCTGATACGAACCCTCAGCTTGAAAGCCGGCCGACGATATACTTGGTGATGCTTGTGCAGCATCATTTTCAGCTCGCTGACTAACCCCAGATGTCTGGGCTTGTGCTTGCTCTGCGCTAGCTGGCTGGTCCTCACTGCGTACAAAGGCAACCAGTTCTGTCCCAGGGATGGCCTCCAGAATGCTTCCCGTCGTTTGTCACGCCCGGCTGGGGATTTGAATCGTCCGAGTCCAGCGACATTGGAGGATGAGCCGGCGACCCACCAAGCGTATAGTTGGATATTCGGGGCGGCTCAACGGATGGCGAGGGCCGGAAGCCGCCAAGATGACCCTGCGTCGGAGCTGTGTTTTCCACGGGTGTAGGGGCCATATTGTGGAGGACTACTGGTACTGGAAAGGCCGCTTTCTCGACAAGCTTGTTCGACATGCCAAAAACGCGACGAGGCGTCCAGGCTCTGGGCCCAGGTCGGTCGTTCGTGGTTGAGTTGACAGATGAAATATTAGAAAATCTCGACTCTAGAGGAAGCGAGCAAGTGTGTCTCGCCCACTGCTGGCAAGTAACTCTGGTTGTATTTGAAGCCTGAATCGCGAGAAAGCCTCGCAAGGCTCCAGGCCTGGGCCATTCAGCCATCGGGTTTGCACCGCCACCTCCCATTCAGGCGCCATGAACCCAACCAGGTTTCTGTCTTCTCATCTCCTTTTGTTGATTTGCCGCGCTATCCGGGTACCTCCAGGAATTTTTGATCTGTTGCGCGCGTTGTGGAGGAAGAAATAAATCTAGAAATGGCCAAGACGTTATGAGACTCGAGAGGCGAAGAGCAGAATACTTCATACCTAGATACTCAAGATACCTGATCTATAGTTATGCTGATCACATTGACTTCAGCAAGGCTGTCAACAGCTCAAATCTACCTTTACCAACTTGAATAAACGCAACTCAACACAAGATAAAGACTCCGTCCTACGAATTCCTTCGAGCCTTGCCTTCTCTAGCCACCCTCGGCGATCCATGCGGGTCCACACTGTAGGGTTAGTGTTATGTCTGTATTTTGATTACATTTACCATTACCTACTCATCAAACCCAGTGCAAATCAAACACGGCTCGGTGCATGCAACTCAAATCCCAAGCTGCTCCCAGATGTGGGTTGTTCGAGTTGTTGGCAGCTTTGGGCTGGAGGTTAGGGCGCGGCGGAGCTCGAGCCGAGCTGCAGAACCGTAGCTCTGCGGTGACGCCATCGGTCGCATGCGGCATGCTTGGGTGACATGCACAGGCAACAGAAGTTCAAAATCTCGGTCGTCTGATGGTAGTTAAGGCCCCTGCGCAAAAAACCCAACGTGCATCAGAGATTTCAAACCTCACAGCGGAAGTCCGTGCCACTAGGGCTCAGGTTCATGCCAAAATTACTCTAGTCGACACCGTCGCACAAAAGCGAAGACGTGGCAGTCCCCACGTCCACCTGAGATCTTATTCAAGCGCTTCTTCATCCAGTTTTCATTGCTTTCCGACACCGCCATTCATTGAAAACAACTTACGCTATCCATCCACGAGTCACGACCCGTCGCGGTTTAGATTTGCGCCATGGGTCACTCCTATCCCAAGAACCCCTCGACGACCGCTAGGACGCCAGTCCGTGAGTCGATTCGCCATGGCCCTCTCGAATGGATATTTACCCGCCATATCAACTCGCTGACCAGATGACCTTTGATTAGAGTGGACGGACCAAGTCCGGCACAAGTACTGCGGCGCCGAGGACTTGGGCCGCGACGGCAAACCCAACAAGGTCCACCGCTGCGAGGCTTGCCTCGCTATCAAGGCGCGCCAGAGCAAGTGGCACGGCGGGCCCCAGGGCAAGAGGTCAGGCACGCAGCAGAAGATCGGGTGGCACGCTGGCGAGTTTGGCGGCGCCGGTGGGATGGAGTCGTGATCAGCCTTTTCTGGTAGTATCAGGAGCGGGTTTTTTTGTCACGGTTGTCAGTCGGTAATTCTTCTCAAGACGGTTAGTTGATAGACAGGGCGCTTGGGGGTCTCCTTAGGTTTGGAATTGTGTGGCACATGGGAATAATGGTTTTGACTGGCGTTGAACTCCTTAAAGAAGACTTGTCGTGATAGCCGCACGAGAAATGAGCTGCGGTAACTATACATCAAATGATATAGGATCCAGTACCTCAGGGCTAGCTCTACTAGCCGGGGCCGGTTCATTCTTCCGCTTTGGTCTCCATGAGGATTCTCATTGCGGACGAACTTTGCTTTCGACTGCTCCTCTGCCAGGGACGATGACCTATCCCCTACATGGCAAACGGAAAAGACAGATACCTGTGGCACAAACCCCATGTCAACTTTTCCGACGATTTCCTCCCTCTCACTCCTCCACGCCACCAGGAGCCTGCGAATTCACCGGCCCGGCCTCAGCCAGGTCTATTACCACGGTGTCATACTCCCACGTAGCCATAATCGCCTCATTGTCCGGCGACCGCTGGCCAAAGAAATGTCAGCTCTGAAAATACTATTCTGGAGGTAATTGGAGGGTCAGGAGCAGATGCGCAATCTCAAGGGCAGATAACTCTCGAGACAGTCATAACGGGGTATGATATTAAGTAAGATTGTTGTACCTTGATGTACCAGGGCACCCCTATCCACAATGTTAGCCTCCATCGTACAGCAACTGTTTTTGAGACCCGAGTCTCCCTAGAGGCCATCGCCTCCAAGTACCCGCATCCTCCATGTCAAAACTGGAAAGAAGCGGCCAAGATCGTCCCCAACGCCGTCTGGTAGCACCACACTTACACTTGTCAATCCCCGCCGGCGTCTTCTCCTTGACCGCGAACCAGCGCCACGGGGCGCCTGTGACCGGCCTATAGCTCAGCACCAATCTCCCATTCGGTCCACACCGTCCCAGCAGGCGCTGCAGATGCCACTCCCTGTAGTTAAAGTACCGCCCCTCATCCTCGGGCCGGTAGGTGTACACCAGGCGCAGCGCGTTGGGCACGCCGTCGCGGTCGCTGAGGCCGTAGTAGCCCGGGATAGGCGGCGGGTGCGGGTTGGTCGGCACAACCAGGAGGGGCGTGTACGGATCCGAAGGGTTGGCGACGGCGAGGCGGCTGAAGTGGTCCGCTGGGTTGTGCGGCGCGAGGGTGACACCGGGGGTGTCGGAGGCGTTGGAGCGCAGCCGCTGGTTGTTGATGTCGGGGTACTTGGTGCTGCCCGAGAAGCGGAAGAAGTACTCGGCCGCGACCGCGGTAGACCAGAAACTGGCGAGGGGGAGGAGGAGGGTGAGCTTCATTTTTGTTGTTGGCGGGACTCCCGGAAGGTTGGACAAAACGAGAGAGAGGAGAGTTGGTTGCGAGGGAGAAGATTTAGAGAATGTTGCGGTGAGATGTTGTCCGTCTTATTCCTGATATATCCTGCAGTTGATACCTGACTTACACGCTCCTAGCCGTAAGTTGCCCGTGACATGCCATGCCACGTCTTGCCGTGGTCGTGCATCTCTGGTGCCCTGCTCGCATGATGCCGGTCCCAAAGCCCCAATCAATCGCTAGCTTGCCGAGATCACACCCAAAGAGGGTGCTCACTTGACCAATAGGTCGCCCGCCCTTACATGCGGGGATGTGGTGATGCTACCAATTTCGCCATCGCACTACTTGGAGAATCTCGTATTCATCGGCGCCACCAGGTTGGCGTAAACAGACCCTGGTACACCACCACGGAACATTGGTTGTCGACGTTGTCGTAGAAGGGACCCAGCCGGGTTGAAGGTGGGCTGACCTCCAGATCCCCAGTTGTTCACCGCCGGTGTTGACCATGTTATCAATACCAACTGCTACATGAATTTGCTGACAAAGACTTCGTCGAGGTCAGCGCAGGCTCTTGCCCGTTCTGCTAATTATGGGTGCTCATTGAAGGGCGACGAGACCAACATTTCCCGATGCTTGACGCTGCGCCAGGCTCAACGAGGCTAGCAGAAGAGATGACAGACGATAAGGTTGAGTATAAGACGGTTGTAAAACTAAGGTAGTTAAGTTACCTATCGAGTGGGATTCAGAGTTTTCGACTTTCCAAAGCGCCGAAGCTTGTCTTCAGGGGCATTGGTGCGCTTTGCTATGTACCTTAGGGTCTGCCCCTACGGTTTGTTGGATGTCTCTCGCAATTTCCTTTCACCTTTTCCGGGAGATGAGGATGCGTCTATCATTTGCAGCGAGAGCGCTCACTGGCAACAGCAAAGCCGAATTTCCGTGAAGATACTCCGTATAGAATGTCACTAGTTGTCACTAGCTGCCTAGCATGACGTGTGAGTAGAATGACGTCAGGGAGTAACAGGTGCACGACCCAAAAACCCGCACTCGCGTCTTAACGTCGGTTTTCTTTCTCTACCTTACTTCATAAGGCACTTCATAAGGTTAATTTACAGCAACTTAGAAACTTCGATTGCCATCGAACTGTCTGTTATCTGAAGAGCTCGTACCTAGCAGTCCAGCTGTCGCAATGTCCAACAAACCCTTCACCAAGCAGCCCAATCTCAATACAGACAAGGGCTTGAACACAGACATCCAATCCAACCTCTCCAACGCAGCCAAGACAACCACATCAACACTCGGCAGCACGGTCGGCGGACTGGCCAACACAGTCGGAGGCGTTGTGGGTGCTGCAAGCCGCGGCTTGGGCGAGACAGTCAACAGTGCGACGGCCGATAATGTCAAGCCGGTGGGTGATGGAGTCAAGAATGTCGGGACAGGGGTGGAGAGTGGTGGGCGGGAGGCAGCTGAGGGGGTGAAGGGCAGGTGAATGGAAGGCGTTTTGAACATTAGGGGTTGGAACTTGGAACTGCACATGCATGTTCGGAAATGGAATGGCCAGCTTCAGGGGTTTCGGAGTTCAGATGACGATCAACGCAAGAGATTCGGTACGCAGAGATCGGTATCATGAATCTTATTCTTCAGTGGCGCTATACCATGCTCCTCTATCGTGATAGGTCTGTGATATTAATATCCAAATGCAGTCATGCAATCCGGTTCTGTTCCCGTTCCATGCCATCTACCACCGCTTGAATCACCAGCCAAACTTCTCCACCGCCACCCTTACCTCCCTTCCCCTCCCAATCGCGTCTGCGCCAACATTCCGGACCGCTCTATTCAGTCCATCCGGCCCGGACACCACAACACCTACCTCCCTCCCTTCCGCCGCGGCACGCTCAATCCAGCCGTCTACCAACCGCGTGACATCCGGCCTCCCAGCCTCAGCAGTTGGCTCCGGGACGACCAGGTCCATCCCGCGCTCCACAAGCTCCTCCAGCTGCGACTCGGGCACCCACTCCCGATGCTCGCGTGAGTGCGTCACCCAGAGCAGGTGCACCCTCCTGATCATCTCCCTTCCTTTGGTCGAGACGACCTTTCCATCCTCCGTACCCCCATCTCCCAATTCTTCTTCCTCCTCTCCAAAAACACCATGTTCATGAAGAAGCGCCCAAACAAGCGGAAATGCCACCGCGATGCCGCTCCCGCCAGCAACGAGCACCGCACACCCCGACGCCCGCAGCATGTCCAGCGCGTGTGGCGAGCCGTATGGCCCGTCCAGCCTGACAGACAGCCGGTGCCCCCGCGAAGGGGAATGCATCATGTGCATCTGCGCGTGGCGGAGGAGCTCGCGCGTGAAGCCGTCGTGGGCGCGGATCAGCAGCGTCAGCCAGGCGTGTCTCGGCCCTCCCGACCCGGCCGATGATGGATACGACGGACCAGGTTCAGGTTGGGCTGGTTCCAGTTCGTCTTCCTCGTGCGGCCTGCCCGGCGCTGCGGACGCGATGGTGAAGGGGTGCGCTTGCAGCGCGTGGCTCCAGCCCAGGGCGGGCACGCTCAGGAATACGTGGTCTGTTGGATGCCACCCGTAGAGTACCGACTGGCGGCGGAAGAAAGTGGGCCATGGGGTGGTATTGGTCTGCGGTAGTGGTGGGCGTGGGATGTCCCAGTCTGCCGAAAGGAGGTAGGTGTCTTCGTCGAGCATGTAGATGTCTGCTTGCAGTTCTGTTCGTTTGAGGGTCAGGCGCCAGATGAGACGATCGCCGAGGAAGATGAGCAGTGAGAGGGCAACATAAGGCTGACTGGTTTCGTAATGGAACCAGAGGAAGATTAGGGCGGCCGTTTGGAGGAAGACGTGCGTCGCAAGGAAGATCTCGTACCACCGCTGGCGGAAGCTGGCGATGGAAGTGAAGTAGAGGGTTTCATAAGCCACCAAAGCGCCGATGCCACAGAGGATCATGGGATGAGTGAAGTAAACGTATGCGGAGCGTGACTCGACGAGCCATTCCCGCGCGAGGAAGAACTGCCAGAGGAGCATGCTGACGAAGTGGAGGGCAGCCTCGAAGCACATAAGCTCTCCGACGCGGCGGTGGAAGATGTTGAGAGCTTCGTAGGAGTAACCAGTGAGAGCCCGGAGTGGCTGGTTCTTGGCCCCGAGCAGGTATAAAAGGGGTAAATTGACGATGAAGACGCAGCCTGTGCGGTCGGCAAAGATGAAGAAGAAGTCTGACTGCGTCGGGAGGCGGAAGAAATGGAGCAAGATGTTGAGGGCCAGCCAGGCGAGGATGAAGAGCGACGTTCCGTTGGAAGGGAGGGTCCGATTGATTACAGGGATCGGGCATGGTTGCCTCGCGAGCCAGGACCTGACCGTCCTGCTAATACTGATACTGTTTCTCGTTCTGGGTCTTGTTGTTGTTGCTCTGCGTCCCGCCAGCAAAGGAACGCTCTCGACATCGACGTCCTTCGCATCGGGCGGTGTAACGATGCCCGCGACTGTGCTGCTTGATGAGGATGCAACCGCACCTTGGCCTCGTTGCTGGGTCAACCGTCGACACTTCTCCTTGTCTTTCTTCGTCGCCCGCCAGCGCCGCAGCGCCAACACTATGAGAACCAGAAGAGTGGCGACATTGTAGCAGTTGACGATCGTGCGGGCTTCGTAGAGCGCGTCAAGCAGCTGCTGAACGTACTCCACCTAATATCATATCAGTCTATTTTCGATTCCACAACAGAACTCAAAGGAGTTTGTTATTCACCTTTTCCGGGTCATTCATCCAGTCATAGTCGCCATCCTCGCTCCGGGCGGCCAGACCGCTGAGACCGGCTGGCTTAGTTGGGCAAAGAGCGCGCAGCATACCCGGCAATGCGGTCCGCAGACAATTCTGCATTCGCAGGCATACTTGCCTGCTATCCATTGCGGAAGAAAAAGGGTAAGTGCTGCTGACGCCCAGGTGAGCGGCGGTGGCGGGCTGGACGGCAAACGAAAGGAGGGGGATGGTGGAGGGACTGTGGCGGCCATGATCTGAAAGGATCTAATCAGATCTTGTGATAAGTTAACAGCGGAGACCGAATCCTTCATCTTGGCGTTGCCCCAGCTACCCCACTATGAGCACAAAAACATGGACAGCAGCTGGCTCCTAGCGGCATTGGGAGGAAGTGAGGGAATCGAAGTAGGTTGGATGAGATCTGACCGCCGACTGACTCCAACTATTGTGTGTAACTGAGGATACAGGTGGCAGCTGCGGCTGATCACAAGCATCGTTCATGCGATACCAACCGCGTCTTGGCAAAGGTTTGGGATACTTCCATTCTGGCATTCTCTCCTAGGCAGGTATCGCCTTGGCATCCAAGCCGGGCCGATTCAAAAGGTACCGGACTACCGGTTGACTGTGGTCTCGTCACACTCCTGTCTCGACTTTATTTGTTTACCGGGAAATCTTCGAGTACCTAACTCACCACTTCCCTAAAGAGTGGACGGTAAACCTTGCTTAGGAACCTAGGGCAGCCCTTCCACGGTTCCAACCATGCTCACTACTTAGGTATGGTACCTACGTTCCCGTCCGCATCACATGTCTAGAGGCAGCGGTTTTGCCAAGCGGGAACGTGATATCAAGGCCCTTGTTCTCCGGATGAGGACCACGGACCCGGGTTGCCAGATATAGAAGTTGAGGATCGGGGCTCAGGGGCTGCCCTAAGTACCGTAGGCAATGATCAAGACAGAAAACCAGAATTCGTCCACGGTGAAGTCGGGCAGAAGTGGGCTACCCATCGTGTTTCTTCTTCAGCGGTAATCATTTGGTCCTATGGAAAGGGCACCGAGTATTGTGGAGTCGCGCTTTGCACGAGGCACAACCTGCACCGTAAGGTATTCAAGAGGTACGTTAAATTATTTCTGATCACTTTCATAAAATTCGTCCCCTAAAAGGCAGCTTTTTAGTCGTCTTCACACCATCACAGAATGTTATAATACGACAGTGCTTTAAATCCAACATGCAAAGGAGGTACAAGTGAAGTGTCCGATCTTTGTAGGGTTCTGCTGCATCACAGCTCCCAGTCTATCACCCCGCCAGGACTTGTTGCCTGTAGCCCAACCACGCTTGTTCACCAAGGAACAAAGATAGGATCAAATGAACTCTAGAGCAACTCATTGACACCATCGATTAGCTGCTATACGTGGATAATAAATAAGCCGTGACGGCCAAAGTCTGGAAGTCCACGGTACTCCGTCGATCATGACCCGTCACCACAGACCAAGTATGAGCCTCATCTTGGCGACAATATCAACGGCTTGACTCACTTCAAGTATGACATCCAAGACGGCGCCTTTTGCCAAACAGGCTGTTTGAATAAGCCAGGGGCGGCATCACATCGGTGTACATTGGAGAAAGACTTGGAGATGGCGTTGGAATCCCTGTGTATCACGACCGAGAGCTTCGTCCGCTTGACACGACTGGAATCGAGTATATATCAGAGCGCCCAGATCCAACACTCTGACAGCCTAATCTGCAGGCAATCCCTCAAGCGATTTCTTGAAGCTAGTTCACAAAGGCTGTAAGTGCTTAGGACTTCGAACGTGACGTGAGCTCCCCGATCGAGCAGGTCATCCTTCGAAGATGATGTTCAGACTCACTAACCAGCAAGAAAAGGACAATACCGAAACAATGGTTTTCCGCGACATCCTGAGTGGCTTTGCGCTGGGCCTTCCGCTGGTTCAGGGCGCCATTCCGTCCATCCCGGGCTTCAGCCTAGTTTGGGCCGAGGACTTCACGGGTAACGCTGGCAGTCTCCCCAAGCCGGCCAACTGGGGCACTGGTGAGATTCAGGCCTACATCAGCAGCACCAACAATCTGCGCCTCAACGGAACGGCCGCCTCCAAATCATCGCCATCCGGGAGAGGCACGGCTGCTGGACATCGGCCCGCATTGAGTCCCAGCGAGCCGACTTTGTCTGCCGCAAAAGCGGCAAGATGCGCATCGAGGCCAGCCTGAGCGTGCCTGCGGTTCCGCAGCCCATCGGCTACTGGCCCGCCTTCTAGACTTTGGGAGCTGCCTACAGGGGTCAATACTGGTAGATTTTAGCCTCTCCCCCTGACAGGCGTGGATGCATCACTGACGTGCTGTTTGCTGCAGGAATTGGCCCGGAATTGGCGAGTTCGACATCATGGAGAACGCCAACGGCATCAACCGGGTGTGGGGAGTCCTGCACTGCGGCGTCAACCCGGGCGCCCCTGCTTCGAGACGGACGGCCGTCCCAACAGCCGCGAGTGCCCGGCGCCGCCTGCCAGGGCAACTTGCACACCTACACGTTCGAGGTCGACCGGACGCAGCAGCAGCTCAAGGCCATCCGCTTGTTCGTCGACGGCATCCTCTTCCACCAGATCGTCTCCACCGACCTCCCCGCCGACACCTGGGCTTAGGCCGTCCACAACCCTCACTTCATCCTGCTCAGCCTTGCCATCGGCGGCGCCTTTCCCAACAAGAACTACAGCAACACCACGCCCCTCCCCACGACCACCTCGGGCGGGGTCTTCGAGGCACAGTACATTGCCGTGTACAACAACTAAGCGGCGCATACACGGCATCATTCCTGCCTGTGATAGTGCTTTTGGGGGCTCGTTCTGGATTAAGGGGGAAAAAGGTGGATGAACAAAAAAAAACGGGGGGAGGGGGGGGGGGGGGGGGGCTGTTGGTAAGGGGAGGTGAGATCCCGTGTTCGGTGTCCCTTTTTGTACTTCTTTTTGTATGTAATGAGGTACTTGTTGGTTTGTTATTTATCCGCTCAGGCACCAAATCATGCATATAGAAATAACGTATAGAAACAAACAATGTTTCATGCCGGCGCCGGCATCTTCACACGGCTTTACATTGATATCCGGATTTTACTAATCAGGGGAGATGATCTGCCACCAGGCCCCATAAATCATACATGTAGGGAACTACCGTGCCAAAGTCCCAATCCGTCTTGGCTTAACAAGCCACCACTTGTGCCATACATCGCTTGGTGTCCCTGTTGAGACATCTGGGCGTGGCCTTGATACAGTTCCATCGTGTCATCATACCGGTATCCTAGTTCTGCTTGTTGGCTCTGAGTGTAGTACCCCGCGTTGCTTGCAGAAGCCGTCCCAATCTGAGAATCAACGAGATAAGAATCAAGCCCAGCGTGTGCTTGTACCCAGGGTTGCTGAGCTTGTTGAGCCGACGTCCCCGTGCTCCAATCCTCGTGGCCTAGGACCAGATCGCCCCCTAATCGCGGACTCGGGGTAGCGGACGTGTGAGCTTGATTAGGATACCACCCGCCGCCGAGAGTTATCTGCGAGGACTGGTACAGCAGCTCGTCGATTTCGGCCGCTGTAAGCGCCGTCCAGTCGTCCGATGTAAACTCCGGTTCAGGTGTCGAGACCGTACTTGAGGATGGTGTGGTAGAGGCGCCGAGGTAAGGGCTTGAGCTAAGGCTCGGCGTGGAAGTTGGCGAGTGTTGCGACTTTGCACGTCGGACGGACGACGACCTTGAACAAGAGCCCTCTTGCTTTCGTCGGAGAATGCTGTATCTGTTCTTGGCGGCAAGGGAGGTGCGATTTGGGAAGTGTCGGTGTACGATGTCGGACCAATTTCGTCCGTACTGGGAGACAAGTGCCAGGAGCTTAGCGTCCTAATGCGTGTAGCCGTTAGTCAGAGTTTGATTTGGGTGTGAAGTAAGGACGAGATGTGCGAAACGTACCTCCTCTGCTGTCCATGGACTCTTGTCAATGCGAGGGTCGAGACAGTCGTACCAACGCTTCCAGCACCTAGGGAAGTCAGTACCTATTGAAGGGGGCAGGAAGGCAGAGAAGCTGACGTACTGGTCACCGTTGCGCGTGCCAACAGCTTCGGCAATCTTGCTCCATCGTGCACCGTACAGTTCCACGGCTTCCCGAAGCCTCTCGTCTTCCTCACGCATCCAAGTGCCCTTGCGTATCGTGTTGGCGATGCTGTAATGCCACCGCTTGCGGCAGTCTTTGTTGTTGCGCCCGGGGAGATGCGAGGCCACTTTGTGCCAGCTGACGGGCCCTTGGTTTGGTGTTTCTGATAGCTGGTCAGATTTAAGACTGACAACTCTTTGCGGTCAGCTAGGGCTGGAACTTACCCTTAGCCACCGCCTCGGCGAGGAGTCGGTCCTCCTCAGGAGTCCAGACTTGGCGCATCTTCCGCGCGGTAATTGGAGACTGAGAGTCCAGAATTACAGGCATAATTGCTGAAGATGTTGCTAGCATGACGTTGAGTGTGGTTCGCCGTCGATTTTGGGGGAGGACGGGAGTCGATGTCTTGATGAATACCCCTGAGAATGTAAACAACAACGACTTGGGGCTCGGACGGTATACGGCAAGGTACTTATAAAGCTCAAACCCAGGTACTGCACTCGAGTTGACTGGATCCTATAACGCACCACTTGCGTGGCCTCAGACGTGCCGGCTTGCTTTGTATGTAGCCAGATCCCCGGGACCTCGCTTACAACCCCTGATGATGATGCCAGGCCCCTGCCCCTTCAGCCCTAAGGATCTCCACATGCCGCAGTGTAAGGTAGCGCCATGTCAGACCGTAACGTGACAACGGTTCGGCGAACGGTCCTCATGCACAGCATACAGCCCAGTTCCATTGTGCTGGAGTCGCCGGCAGGATTGGCGACGAGATTGACCGTCATGATTGGCTTCAACTCCCTTCCCGGAGCCGTGTGCTTGAAGTTCCTTTAGAACACGCAGCGGCGGAGTATTAGCTGGGTGCGTTGATTGGCCACAAGCTCGCCGACCGCCTTTTTCAGCTCTCGTCTTGCAGACTCTGGGGAGGCTGAGGCTTGCCAACAAGGGCAGTCGGGTGAAGAACCTTAACTTGGAAGGAGGGTCTGGATCCCGGTCGCCATCGGCGCTTTCCGTACCGACAACGGCACCATTATGGTGGATATCCCCCCCCGGTTCCGCAACGGGTTGGCCCAGAGAGGTGGATTGGGACGGAACGGCGACGCCGGTGTTACATACCTTACCCAACTTTTGCCTGCTACTTGTTAGTGCAACCAGCCGGCCAGCCACCCGAGAGCCACATTGATGAATCATAACAGGCTTGAACATCAATACGTACAAGTGCTTCAAATGGGAGGTTCGTTGAGAGGTAGCTGAGGCTGTACCGTGGCTTGCGATTACGCCGAAGGAAAATGTCTCTGGCCGTTACAATCAAACCCAGTCAAAAGCTTCGGCTATCATTCGAGCGGTTCATGAAATACAGTCCGGTTCGGTGATGATTTCCGGATGGACTGATCCTACTCAATCTGAAGGAATAACCGAATCGGCGAATATTGTGGAGATGGATAACGTTACGGATATTAGCCGCAGTTACATGGGGTCTCTGAGCTACGCTGCAGTGAAACCTTGGTGAGCCCATAACTGAGGGACTTTGACCTCTTGAACGAACGAACAGGCGTTCCGGAGAGAACATGGTCTTGGCGAGAAAAAAAAAAAAAAAAAGGAGGAGAAAGAGTTTACTTGAAGGATCATGAGCTTGGAAGTCGCCGAAGGTCTGTGAAGTGGTACCGAAAAAGCCATCGTTGCGAGGAGAACGAAATCTCAGAGGGAAAGTGCAGCCCTGCGAGTCGCTTGCATGCCACACCGTAGCCAAAAGCCGTATCATTCGGTCCTTCTGTGACCGACGGCATCTGCAGTTCTGCACCGCCACATTCCCCTTCTCCCTTTGGCGTCTGCAGGTGGTTCAAGACGGCGGCCATAGCAGGTGGACTCGGGTAGTACTTTATTGAGCGGTGTGCCTATCGGCTGTATTGTACAATGCCGGTGCCGCCTTCGTCGTGACTGTCGGCTAACTGACGGTGACTGTAAGTTGCATCGAACCTGAAAATTCATGAGTGAATGATTTAACTACCTGGAAGGTTTTCACCATCACTGGACAGCCTGACGGCACCGGTTGAGATTGAAACCCCGGCTGTGAAACAAGTTGTGGCATAGAATGAATACCTTACTAAGAAGGTCTAACCGGGAATTTCAAATGGGATGTTGTTTGTCTAACAAGGTATCAGAGAACTTGTAGAGAAGGTCGCACCACTCATCGGATGTGGATTGTGTGGAACTGTACGGATGTACAGTGGGTTTCCACTTTCCCGTCAGTGGGCGACGTTTCTTCCCACATCAGCAATCCAGGGAATATTGTGTAAGTACATTGAGTGGGAATAAGATAGCAGTCAGAAAGTCATTCAAGTTGTGAATCAATTGAGAAGTCAGTTGCAAGGTGGACCAACTTCTGCAAAAATGATGATTTGTAACGGTTGACGTCACCACACACTGTTGCAGCAAACTTGAAGGATATGTAAGTTTGTCTTCTTCCTTTGGATTCAGTTCGAGAAAGCCTCATCTCGCACTGAGACCCAATTTTCGGACTGTTGACACAGTTTGTCTGACGTTTTCGTGCGAACAAACTTCAATTGCGTTCCTGTCGCTAATCAGTTAATACCCCTAACCATGTTAACGGCAATTGTTGTGGGCGCAACCGGTAAGCCACACCTTTTTCAAACGAGACCCATGTCCAACCTATTATCTCTGCTCAGGTATCCTCGGCCGGGAGATAGTCAAGCAGCTGTCTCAAAGCCCAGACAAATGGAAGACCATCTATGCCCTCTCACGCAGCCAAAAGGACGAGCACCCCTCGCAGGTCGTGCACAAGCACATTGACCTGCTGAGCTCCGCCGATCAGATGGCCAAGGACCTCGAGGGCATTGATGCCGAGTATATATTCTTCGCGGCCTACCTCCAAAAGGACACTGAGCAGGAAAACTGGCAGGTGAACGGTAAATACATCCACCTTCTCCCGCCTCACTTCACCCCCGAAGCCCAAAACGTCTCTCATCATGGATTGCCTAATCTGACACATATTCCTAGGTGACATGCTCCACAACTTCCTCCATGCCATCCCCCACACTAAAACCCGGCGCATCCTCCTCGTAACCGGTTGCAAGCAATACGGCGTGCACCTAGGCGAGGCCAAGAACCCGATGCTCGAAACCGACCCCTGGCTGCGCTCCCACCAGTTCCCACCCAACTTCTACTATCGCCAGCAGGATATCCTCAAGTCCTTCTGCTCGGAGCACAACAGCCAGCACAGCAACAAGATCACCTGGACCGTCACCTACCCCAACGACGTGATCGGCTTCGCGCAGGGTAATTTCATGAACCTGGCCACGGCCCTGGGGCTCTACGCGGCCGTGAGCAAGGAGCTCGGCCAGGACCTGGCCTTCCCTGGGTCCGCGACCTTTTACACCCGGTTCGACAGCTTCACGTCGTCCAAGCTGCATGCCCGCTTCTGCGAATGGGCCGTCACGGAGCCCAAGGCCGCGGACCAGGCCTTCAACGTCGTCAACGGCGACGTGCAGAGCTGGATGGACATGTGGCCCCGCCTGGCGAGGCGCTTCGGCATGCGGGTCAAGCAGGACCAGTTTGTAGGCGAGACGGGACTGGAGGCCAGGACGGAGTTGGGGCCTACGCCGCCTCTGGGCGTGCTGGCCGAGGAGGCTGGGCTGGTGGGACGGGTCAAGGGGAGCGTCTTGGAGCAGAGGATTAGTCTGGTCAAGTGGAGCCAGAAGAAGGATGTTCACGAGGCGTGGGACAGGCTGGCGGAGCGGGAGGGCCTGCAGAAAGATGCGTTTGGCAAGGCGACGTGGGCTTTTCTGGACTTCGTGCTGGGGCGGAACTATGATCTTGTCGTGAGTATGAGCAAAGCGAGGGAGGCAGGGTGGACAGGGTGAGTGTTCCTTGCCTTTCCTTGGACATGCTGATGATCAGTTCACATGCTGACCGTGTACCAGATACCAGGACACCTGGAAGGCGATTTCGGATGTCTTTGGCGAACTGGAGGCCGCCAAGGTGTTGCCGAAGATTCACTAATGGTGGTTCGATGGCGGGCCGAATGATACATGAGATCTTAGCTCAGATTCCAGTTTCTTCAGCAATCTCAGTGTTTGATAACTCGGATCCCTTGGCAATTCAAAATTACCTCATGACAGCTGAACTCGTCTCGGAACCGTAGAAAGAGCACATTCAATTTTATCACATCTCCGTCCACCTTGCTCATTTGCCTGTTTACGACTTGTAGCCCTTGTGAGATTACAGCCTAACAGGTTGCCGGCGTCTCCTTTTGAAAGCATGACATGTGCTTCCTTACCGACAGTCCGAGATAAGTTAAGGAGTCCAGAGCAGCCACGTTCAGGGCGCGTCCAGAAAAATCCATAGCAGGTTTGAATGATGCGTAAACCGTATCGGCAGGAGTGCTGTGGTCATCATATGGGCATGCGAGGTGAAATAGGGCATAATTCATTATATATTAGCAAATACTTCAAATCGTGTGTACGGGGGTATCTCCTATCTCCCCCCCTATCCGTGGTCACAAACAGGACTTGCCATGAAGCTCATTGCAGAATGGCAAAACACCAATCGCTTGCCGCGACGTGAGACTGCTTCAGGTCCTTCTTCATGTAGCTGCCCAACAAAGTCAGTCATTTCTTGCCTATTAAGCGTGGCTCAGGAGCATTTTGGGAACAAAAGTGCTGCTTTGGGGACTAGACGACTCCCGTGACTCCCGAGACACCTCGAAAGGGGCAAAGAAAAAAAGCACGAAGTTGACGTACCAGCGGTGTTTGCTGCCCTCGTCCCCTTCAAGGTAGCCCCAGGAACATGCAGTGCACTGGTCGAACGAGGCACAGGTGTGCATGCAATCCGCCATGCTCTCTGTATAAGCTTGGCCGAGGTCAGTGGCGCCGCTGCCGCCATAGTCGATGCCGCAGGTGCGTAAGAAGCTTCTGGTCGAGCCAGGGACGTGGTAAATGGTATTGTTTAAAGCGGGGCAGTCGGAGTTGTAGGTTGGTCGCGGGTTTGACGCCGGCCCAGTGGTCGTTTCTGCGGCCGTCTCACTGCTGCTGGGGGCGCGGGTGGACGGGCTCGCTTGAGACGGATTCGTCTCTGATGTCGAAGCTGGTAGCGAGCTAACAACTCAAGTTAGACATCTCTCAACCATCACAGACCGACTTGACGAACCTTGACGGGACGGTGGGCGCCACGGCCGAGTCTTGCGCCTTGGACAAGCCGAGACCCAGACCAACGCCAACGCCAACAGCGACGCCAATGACTACCAGGACCCCCACGGCGAGGATCACCCAAAGCAGCTTTCTCTTGGTCGTCGGGGTGACATCATCATTACTGTTGGCAATGCTCCAGTTGCTTACTTCACCCTGGCTGAAGGCCCCTGGAGCGAAGCCGCGATCGCTCCCTATGGTGCCTCCACCGGCAGTCGACCCGTCGGCAACGGCGGGTGGCAGCGCGCCTCCGTAGCCCGACTGCTTCTCCGAGGTCTCGTACTCGGGAGGCGGGGGCGTGCCCTCGCGGTAGAAAGTGTAGCCCGCAGGACTGACGTCGCTGTCCCGGTCGTCATCCCCGTCCCAGTACACGGCAGGCTGCGGGGGCGCGGGGCGCAGCGCGGCTGACGATGCGGTGGCAGCAGATGGACTGTACGGCCGTGGTTGCGACTGGTAAATCTTGTAACTGGCCTGGGGTTCCCCCTCGGCGAAGCGTACTCGCGGTGGGACCAGGTCGTGGGTGTTGTTGTCCTTGTCGCCCGGAAATGGACGGGATGGGGCTCCCCTGGGCGGCGATGGGTCCATGATTCGGTTTCAGAGCTGGGTGTCCATCTCGCTGCCCAAATCGCGGTGCCCGGCTCCGTTCCGCCTCCTCCGAGTCCGGCCAATCGCAGTCGGATACCGGCGTGAGGTTGTTGATCGAATGCGCTGGCCGCGCAACTTGAATTGCTGGGAACGAGGAGCAGAGGAAGGAAAAGCGCTGGCGTGACTAGCACGTGGAAAGCTGGCAGTCAGCCCTGAAGGTTGCGCCGCCAAGGCGCCATCCGCCATTCCAGAATCGAGGCCCGAATCCTGGTCGCGGCAATTTTCTTGAAATTGCACCTCGGACACCGTGCTCTGGGCCTGCAGGCTTTGGTGTCATCGCGGCCTGGAGTGTGGGGGCGTGGAAGGGTTCATTGCGTCCCGATCGGGCAGCCAACGCTGCAGTTATTGCTTGGGTGTCGACGCAACACCACTCTAATGACAATGGCTCCTGCAGGATAGGACGACTCAGCAGCGGTTCTCTTACGTCAATCCATCAGTGTATTGTACACAATGCACCGTTGAGGCCGGGCGTGGGTTTTCCTGTCGAGGTGAGACGATGTTGGCAGTCGAGTGATTGAATCCAACGTTCCCGGGTTCTGCGCCTTGCTTGCCAAGAGGGCGCTTGCCTGATGAGGCAAAGCGTCGAAGTACCACAGTATTGACGCCACTTTGTTCCCGAGGCTCCGTAGCCCGCTTTCGAAAGCATAGTGCAATTTGCTTTCCAACCCAACCGCAAAGTAACACGGCGGAGTAGGAAAAGGTAAAGACTGTTTGGTATATCATTACGGAGTATTTACATTCATACTCTAGGCATGGTTGTCAACTTACCGAACAGTCTTCCGAGCCATTACAATATCAAGCTATTCCAATTTCATGTCCACCAGTTGCTGTGGCGACGCCGCGACAGTTATAATGACTCGGGCACTACATAGTAGAACCCCTTATTCTTTCTCTTGCCTTTGAACTCAAAACCTTTATCCGGTTGGTAAAAATAACATGTGCCAATTGCTAGTTACGAGGAATCGACTTCAAATGATAATACTACAGCTGAACTCAAACGCAGTTTGTAGCTCTTAACTCTCTCACTGATTCCGTGGCAGGGCCCTGTTATGGACCTGACAACAGTATCTTGATTGGTACTTACTAGCTATACACCTCTACTCTCCGGACAGCCTGAAACAAGACGAAGGGTTTAGCCATTGTTTAGGCCATTCTCCAGTATCAGTAGTTCGAGTTGCTCGTTGCGGTTCATGATGCTTGCAAGCCATAAATGTGACAACAAACCCCTCCTCCTGCACAGTACTAGGCAGTAAGCGAAGATTCGTCACGGGATCTCTAATCACAGCTCGTCATTTGACGTTGACGGCGGAGGCTGCAGGCATGTCACACAATAAGTGGCCAATTGGTCGAACCAAACATCTGGGTCGCCATGTGGCTCAACCCAACTGTGTAGAAGACAACAAGGTTGAGCGGTTGGTGTTACAACAAACGTGCCGCAAAAACTAAGGTATATATTGGTTCTCTTCCCTCGAGACTGCCTCTCGGGCCCCTCTTCCGGATGATCGTCACATTTGTCGGCAAACGCACGAACATCTCACATACCCTGTTGCCAAATGACGCCAACCCTTCCGCTGCCACTCCCCCTAATGCGTTCGTATACCCACATGAAAGCACACAGCGATCATGGGCAAGTCTTCGATCAACAAATCCGACTCTGGGAAGGGCAAGGACAAGGACAAGGGCTCAAGTCCGGTCAGAAGCTCGAGCCGAGGGGGTCCTGGCAGGCACAGCGATACGAGCAGGAACCGGAGAAGGTCGGGCTATGCTGGCTCAAAGGGTAGGGACAGCGAACCACGCCGCCACTCATGCATGTGCATATGTGGCTGCACCAAGCGAACTTCCTCTCCTCACGCGAGATGTGCCGATTGCCTCGGTGGGATCCACATGATGTAGGAAAATCCCCAGGAACTTGTGACAACAGCACTCACTATCTGAAAGCCGTACTGGACCAATGGTTGCTAACTTCGAGTAGTCAGCACGGATAGGATATGTCGTCACTCACGGGTTGCATAGGCTGCCCTTGAATTAGAAAGCCATGTTTTTGGATTTTTTATTTTATTGTGTGGTGAGTGACGGCACAGGGCGGACATCAGGAGCGCACCGGGCATTGGGTTGGACTGCTTTTGAATACCCCGAAGGAGTGATTCCCCCACGAACTGGAGTAAATGTGAGCGTACAGATACTCTTTCTTAGATACATCGGTAGTAAATAGCAACCCCTGAGTTTACAGTCTTGGGGTTCAAACTCTGCCCTCGCTGATGCTCATGACTGTTGTGTGATTCAGGACCCCGGAAGGAGAAGGGAGAATTGCGCTCTGGGGGAGATGTGCTGAGAGGACTATAATCGGCTTGAGTATATGGTTTCTTGGAAGGGTAGGGGCCAAATTCAACTGGGTGTACACTTTTCTAGATTCAATCACCACTGGGCAGGTCCGCTGACTGGAACGACAAGTTCAACTTGTTATTTGCAGTCAAAAAGGGCCGGTCCAGAACCCCAACCTCGTTGCCCAACCGTAGGTATGATTCATACTTCCTGTAGAACCCATCCAAAACTTTAAAATAAACACTCTTAGTCCTCGAACACTTACAGAAAGCCATGTGTCGAGCAAAGAACTGCTGTCCTCACACATGAGCCATTCTAACAAAGTAATGCCAAGGGCTAAGTAACACTGTGACATCTAATTACATCAACTGTGTCGGAACGAAGCCGCCTTGATGGCTGCATTCAACGGACCTCGGTGGTTGATTGGTGCCAGCACCGCAACCCCTCTTCCTTACATACTTAGTCCTCTCCCATGCCCATCAACAGCATGGTCAATCAATCACTTTTACCACCTTTAAAAAATTCAATCCACTGCTTTGACTGGGAATAGCTTCTTCCAGCGCATATCACAGCGGTCGTCGCCCTGCAGGTTCCAACAAACTGAAGTTCGACGTCAAAGGCACAGCCCACCAGTCGGAAGGGCGTCATCAATGAATGATGACGCTCACTTCCATGGCTTCACATGATGCCCAAATGCAAGGAGAGACCATGGCAAAGCCCAAGGTTCAGACCAAGGAAAGCAGTGAAGGCTGCTTTGGGCGGGCTACCGTAAATAACCCTTGCTCCCCTCTGCAACAACCCTGACACCTAGGGGCCTCCCACATCCCACAAACAACCCGCTCCATGGATGAGTTCAAAGGCAAGCCGGCACCGTCTTCGCGTCTCCAGCCGTACCTGAACCCAACTTCCAAGTTGCTACCTTACTTAGGTATCCTAGTCCAAAACTAGTACCGCAAGACCACGACGAGATGTGCATGGGACTTCTGGAAGTCTTTTGCCCAACACCCCGTCCAAAGCAAAGCGGCACACATAGTGGGAGGAGCAGTGGCGGGCACAGCGACCGGAGCAGTGGTAGACACGACGGCAGGCACGGCGGCGGTAGGAGCAGTGGCAGGAGGAATGGCCGACACTAGTAGCCGGGAGGGGCGGAACAGCAGGAGGCGATGAATATCAGGCGGCAAGCCGAGGGCCAACCAAGAATGGGGCAAGATGCTTGTTGCATGCCTAGGTAGGTACAAGTACTTATGAACGACGTTGACGGGCATGAACGAGGCATGTCCTCAAAGGCCAGGTCATTGAAGTAAGACATAAGGCGAGCGCTCTCTCGTCGACAGACGATGAGCTGCGACGCTGACGAACTGCAGCGAGCAGGCGATGGGTGCGATGGGTTTTCGGATTGTGGACAAAATCCCAGACGGCGAGGCTCACTCCGTTCTAGGTCATGGCCACCGCTCCACTGCTGGCGGCTGGAGTAATCATGGCCTGCTGCTGGTTCAGCGGGTCCAGAGCAAGACAGCGCGGGGATGAGATGCGAGACCTCTTGTTACCTGGGGACGTCTTGTTTTCTTCTATGGATCGCAACACACGGAGACAATTCGATGATCAGCGGGTCTTCGTTTCGTTGCTAAATCGGCAATATGAAGGTTTTTGATAGTGCAAATGTTTCAATTCTCGGCTCGTCTCCAGTACATGACTGTACTCGAGTACATGTAGTCGATGTCAGGAAAAACGAATTTATCATACGTCTGGTCCATTTTGGAGAAGGCCATAAGCGGGTTTTCCGTGTCCGAATCGTGGTTGATGACCTTTTTCCACTCTTGCAGGCTGGAGCCGACGTAGACAGCTGGAAGTTTGGTCAATGCTTGGTTGTAGATGTCGAGCTCCAGGTGAATGCCAAAGAGCAGTGTGTTTTCGTCCACAATCGAAAAGCCCTCGGGGGTATCAACGGCCGTCAGACCGATCCTGGTGCAGAATTCCTTGTCTGTCTGTGTGAACCTAGGCTCTTGAACCACACATGTAATGTCTCGACCAGTGCGATGTTCTGAGACGTCGTCAGCATGGTAACCGTGAAAGTCATGGCATCGCCGAGAAGGGTTTAGATACCCAGATATTCAACGAGAAAGCAAAAGGCAGCAGTCTGCATGTGGGCTGTCCACTTCGCCCTCTGGCTGCCGTTACTTGGCTCATAGGGACCTGAGCCTAGACAGACTGCTTTGGTGATGACGGGGCAGGTTGGCTTGCCCAAGGCAGATTCGACAATTTGGCGTACTTGGGCCCACCACGTAGAAGTTCGCCAACCCTCGGTCACAAACTTGTGGTACTTCAACAGGTCGCCAACAGAAAGCTCGGGATTCGGATTGGGTCGGAGGCCGTCAGAGAGGGAATCTGCCGCGTTGTTTACTGGTTTTGGTAGGTTACGCAGACGGCCTCCTCTGCGCTTGACTTGGTTCCATTCGCCGCTCTGCTCCGCCATGTCCTGTCTGACTGTGCGAGTGCCAACTATGAGGGTGAGCAACTGGTCGCGGTTGAGGTTGTGTGGGTTGGCAGCGAGGATGGCCTGTGTATGACGACGGTCTTACTCTCACATTGACCAAATAAATAAATATTCGCCAGGAAATGATTCCAAGCCCTGCTGATTCATGTGCTGCTCGTTTCTCAGATTGAAGAGACTCGGCAACAATCAACAACAACCTGAACCGGAACAGAGATGTGGTACCAATAAGGAGCTGATAGGCAGAATACGCCCCACCGCCTGCCGTTTACGATGCCGCCTTCCCGAGCTTCTCGTCCTCCAGGCTGTCTTGGTTCAGAGTGACACCTCTCAACTCCACAGCTCATCAACTCATTCATCTATCTTCCCCGGCTCAGTTTACAGCAATGCTGCGGGTTTAATGGCCGCTCTACCCATGCTGTCGCAAAGCGGCAGAATGTAATGCCTTTATTGATTTTCATTTCGGGGTCGCACCGAAACGGGAATGTCAGCTTACCGGTTGACCAGTGTTAAGTTGCGAAGCATGTCGCACAGCAACAGGACTCTTCAAAGAATCGACGAAGTTGCTGTTCAGCCCCATGGCGGCAATTCGGATTGAGGATTTCCGACAAGACAAATTTGCCTTCGGCCAGTCTGAATCACGACTCAGCCTTAGCGAAGCGACTCAATATAACACTTCTCTTTGTTTATCGCGCGATGCGCATTCCCGGGTCTATTTCAACCACTTCCTGTCCTTGGTCCCCTGAATGCATGAAGTTCTGGCTGCATACGATCTTTGATGGGGTTCTATTGAGATGGAAGAGTTGTTGTCTCATGGACTCTGGGCACGGTAAGATCCGATCAGACTTCCTCCCATGGGATGCGACGCCTGATTGGCTCCGGACCAGGTATCTTGGGCGCTTAACCGTGCAACAAGGTTGGAGGACCGCAACAATGTGGAGAGAGGAATTCAGAGTCCGATGTGACTGGGGACCGCAACCAGTTGTGTAACACCACGATCTCTTGCGCTTCGCGATGCCTGGACAGCACTCTCATCTTCAGAAGCCCATGAGCACTCCGGCATCACATGTTGACCCCTTCGTCAGGCCATCAATTCATGCAAGGATGCATCCCCATTCACCAGTAACAGTCCAAACGCAACGCTCTCAAAAAAGGCCAGAAGCTTGGGTTACCCAAGAAGTCATGCGGTACGGCCGCCGATTGGAGGGTTGTTGGTGATTGCTGCAATGGGGAACGGGGCGTTTGGCGAAGTGATGGACCTGCAAATCCCCCCTCGCACAGCGACTCGCCCGCAGCCAAGCGGCCAGGTGCGGCCGCCCATTGGCCGCAGCGGTTCTCGGGTGGCAGGGGGCGGGAGGGTCGCCATGCGCAGGTTGCACCTCTGCAGCCAGTTTGTCCCTCTTTGACTGGTCATGTCCATGGCAAAGCATGCTGCTGCCAGAACGCCGCTTTGATTGGGCCGGTGGTTCATTGACATGCGAAGGAACCGTCGGCCGATGTTTCCTTGCCGGTGTCCTGCATGGGGGGTGCAATACTGGGGGTGACAAAACCTGGGCGGCTGGAGGGCGAGGGGGATGGGCTGCAGATATTAGCCTCCAGATGCCCAGCGACTCGGTCTTTGCCTCCAGTCGTCCATATTTCTCGAATCGCGCGCCAGGAACAAATCTTCGACGACAAATGTTGGGCAATTTCCGGCCCTCTTAACGTGCTTGCGGATTCGGTAACACGCGGTCCTTCCGCCACTTACAAAGTCACACACACCTCAGCTGTACTGAGCGGGGAGTCGTGATTCGGAGGGTTTCTCGCCAGGCTACATCGAAAGAGCGACAAAGGGCGACAGAACTCAGATCCATCTCAAGAGGAGGACATTTCGTGAAGTGTTCAAACGGCGCCCAAACCTCCCGCCAGACCGTCGGCTACAAACGCATACAGACCTCGCCATGTTTTCATCAACACTCCTCGCCATCGCCAGCGCGGCGCTCGTGTCGGCGCACACAGTCATCACATACCCAGGATGGAGAGGCAACAACCTGATCACGAACGAGACACACCCATACGGGATGCAGTGGATGTATCCATGTGAGTCTTCTTCGATCGGTTCAGCTCATTGACACCTCGTCTAACACCGCACTTAGGCGGCGGAATGCCAACATCAGAAAATCGCACATATTGGTCCACACAAGGCGGCGCCATTGCATTCCAACCGGGCTGGTTTCAGGGCCACGCAACAGCCCTCATATACGTCAACCTAGGCTTCGGCAACGAAGGGCCCGAATTCAACCGAGACCTTAGAGGCCCGCCAAATATGAGTTTCCCGATGGTTCCCCCCTTCCAACTCCTCGGGCCCACCAAGAATCCCTACCCAGGCACCGTCTGCCTTCCGCAGGTGCCGCTGCCGGTCAACGCGACCGTCAAGGCGGGCGACCTGGCGACGATCCAGTTGGTCGAGTTGGCGGTCCACGGTGCCGCGCTGTACTCGGTAAAACCGCCCTCCTCCCTGAAGTTAGTGCTTCAGTAAAGGACCAGAATTGCTGATTACTGTGTGACCATCGCAGTGCGTCGACATCATCTTTGCCGAGCCCGGTGATCCACGCATCCCCATCGTCAACGAGACCAACTGCTTCAACAGCACCGAAATCGGCGTCGCGGACGTCTACACGCTCACGCTCCGCGCTTCGGGGCAGGGCAATACCACCACGAGTGGCGCTGCGCGTGCCTTGCAGCTCGGCGGCAGTGCGCTGGCGCATTGGGGATATCTGCCACTGGTCTTGGGTGGACTTTGGGCGGTATTATAACTGAACTCTTGAAGTAAGCAATGGCGTTCTCTTAGATTGGTCATGACGGCTATGCCATGCCATGGTTGTATATTCTCGCATGTGGGGTCGGCGTTCAAGGGCACTGGTTTCCTTTTTGACGGATCTGGGTGTCTCCTGCGGAATGGTTTCCCGCGTACTCCTTACTATCGTCCTCGAGAGTATGTTGCTCTCGAGCTCGGCATGCCTCAGGCTGCCAAGGCCCCCTGCGGGGTTAACCGCTATAGCACTGTCTTGGATATTACGTCTCAAATACGAGTTTGTCTCCAGTCTTGCAGCGCTGGTCGAGTTAGTTGCCTTAGCTGTTGGATAGAAACTTGCCGCATAACCACGAAGATGGTTACTCCGAAACAGCTACGTATGAGCGAGCCCAAGGTTCTCCACCCTGAATTCCCTGTTCCTTTCCCTCTTCTGAATGTACGCATTACCGCACAATTTCTTGCTCATCAGCAACTTTGCGGTACGATCTGAGGCGAAACGGGAGGGCACGGTGTTATCCGCGTGTCGCCAACCGCCGGCCAGAGGAAAGAGGGGGTTTCAGCAACCCTCGTCACGGTCGCAGGCGTTTGTAAGATCTCAGAAGCATTTTACCATCTCGGCTTTTTGCTTGATCTGAGAATGCTCCGTAGATCAAAAGCGAGAATGTTTCCTGTGGCACAATTCCAACCCTCTCGTAGGGTTGCCATCGTCCCTTTACTGCGCTAATACCGGGGTTTCAAACCAAGTGAAGGTGGGTCTACAGCACAGCCTGTCATAATCATGATCTTCACCTGCTCATCGAGCGCCGGTCGGGCTAACCCTGCCCCCTCTTCGTGGTCAACCCAGGGTCAAAGCAGGGAAGTAAAGCACTTAGAACGATTAGACTCGTAGTTCATGATGGCCCTATGGCTTATAACCCTCCGACCAAATCCCATCCACATCTATCTCTCACATAAACCAGACACCTATCCCCTCCCATTCACCCCCTCAAGTACCCTAAGCACTCCTGCGCCAGGGCCTTGATCCTCGCCTCGCCGCTCTTCTTGGCCGCCTCGCCTACCGGCTCGCCCACCTCCAGCGTCCTGGCCAAATCCCTTGCGTCGCCGCCGATGGCCAACACCATCCCCAGTGACATGAGCGCGCGGAACAGCACCTCAGGATCGCTCTGCCGGCGGATGACCGCCTCAGCAACCTGGCAGAGCGTCATCAGCAGCTCAAGGTCGACCGACTCGCGCTGGTTAAAGGCGAGGCATGTGAGATTGAACGTGGCCGAAGTGAGCGCAATCTGGAGATTGTTGTTGTCCGGCCCGATGGGGCCCAGGTCGCCTTCGACGCCCGCGACGCGGGCCAGGAGGGTAGTGATGGCCGCGGCTTCGGAGGCGGCGAGGGACCGGCCTTCGGCGGTGGCGAACAAGTTGGTTACGGCGCGCAGCGCCATCATGATGTTGTTGACGTTGATTTTGGTGGCGTCAAAGTTCTTGATTAGCTCTACCACGGGCTGGTCGTTGGATGATATGGGATCTTGGACGTCGAGGGCACCCCGCAAGACGATGTCCACCAGGCTGCCGTACTTGCTGTCGTGGACAGATACGGCACCGGGCCACGCCGCAAAACAGCGGAGGACGTCGAGGGGGGGAAGTCGATCCCCGTACGGCCATTGTGTTGCGAGCATGTAGACGCTACGCTGAGCCTCGAGGAGCCCAGGGGCTGCAGTCTTCTGGTTTGTTGCGCCCACAGTCGCTTGAAGAACCGATTCAAGACGGCTTACGCCGTCGGGATTCATGGCGATGTGTTTGTTTCCAGCCAAGATATGTTTCTCATTGAGGCTCTTGAGCTTCCTTGCGACCGGCTCCCACTTGGCTTGGGTTAGGGCGAGGTACTCTGTATACGGCAGGAATTTCTTCGGCGGCGCTGCTTGGTCGGGCTGATACCACGATTCTCTCCCGTATGGGTCGGCTGAGGAAGCTTCGGCGGTCTGGCCAATGATTGCACCCTTGGTGTTGGTCACGATGAACTTGGCCACCTCATCGATGTATGATATGGGGAGTTCGTTGTCCCCAAGGAACTTAGTTGCCGCCTCGTATGGATTCTGGGAAAGGTTGTAGGGCAGTTTGAGTGGCGGCTTGCCCTCTTCAATGTCGACATCGAACACAAAATCATATTCTTGGCCGTTGTACTGGACCTTGCGCCCACTACTTCCGGTCGAGTCCACCACGGTGCCAACATGAACCCACCGTTGCTCACCTGCCGACAGTTAGGGAGTGGGAACATCAGACCCAAAGATGTTGAACTCACCGAGCGACCACTGATAAGCCCCAATGGTCCCATCATCCTCCAAAACTGTCGTTACCTGCCCATCATTTCTGCCGGCGTTGTTGAGAAGCCAAGACTTTGGATTCAACCGCTCCTTGTTGATCGAAGTGCCGAGCTGCTGCTGCGGGATCGCAGACGCTCGAACCGATTCTTCAAACTCGGACAGCGCTTCAGCCGGTGCTGTGCGGTCGGCATTGCGAGTGAAAACGCGGACCACATTATCGCTGGCGCCAGAAGCAAAATCTCCATTTTCTGGACACACTGCAACCGACCACACCGAAATAGCGGGGTGCGTTATTGTCTGGATGCATTCCGAACCCCTCCAGATCCGGACTGTCCGGTCCTCTCCTGAACTCACGATTTCGCTCGTCGGAAGACAAGCCAGGGAGTAAATGAAGCTATCGTGACCGCGTAGCGTTCCGACTTCCGTCCCGTTCATCTTCCACAGCTGGATGATGCCATCGTTGCCGGCGCTTGCGAACTCCGCTCCGCTCGGATGGCCCTTGAGACCACTGGGCAGCTTGCACAACGCGCGCACAACAGAGCTGGTGCTAAGAGTGCGCCGTGGCTCCACCTCGCCAACGGCATTGACTTGGCGAAGGTCGAATATCCGAATCTGAGTATCGGCGCTACCTGTGATGACGGTGTGTTCATCATAGGCCAGAACTGCCCAGACACTCTTGACCTCGCCCTGGTGCATAAGCTGGGCCGAGATCTGCCACTTCTCCGTGTCCCAAACTAGCGCTTTCCCGTCCCAGCCGCCGGACACGACATAGGCCCCGCGGGGAGATACGTCCAGCGTGCACACATTGTGGCCATGACCGACGAGCAACCGGTCGGCGTTGTCGCCCGCAGTCAAGCCCGGCCGTTTCGCTTCAATGATTGCCTCATGGCCACCTGAAACCACGAGACCCTCGGACCAGGTTGGCGACGGACGGAGAAATGTAAGGGAGTTGATGTAGCCGTGCCCTTGACTGGTTATGGTGGCATCGAAGGTTGGGGGTTTGTCGGCTGTCTTGCGCCAGAGACGCACCGTTTGATCGCGGGACGACGAGAGAACGGTATTCGCGGCGGGGAAGCAGACGGCTCGCACCTGGATGCTTATGCATCAGTCTCGGCATCCCTTCAAGCAGCTCGCAAAATCTCACATCGGCATCGTGACCCTTCAGCTGGGCCGAGAGTTTGAAATCTGGCATCGCGCTGACACTGTGTTGCGTTGGTTGTTGGTTGGCCCGAAGATGAGGGCGGGGTAACGATGGGCACTTAGAAGCAGCTGTCTGGAGCTAGCTGTCTCGCTGTAAGCCGGGGTACGGCGCGTCGAGCCACCCAGCGAATGTGATGAGGGTTCAAATCGGCTGACAAAAGGTGGTGAGGTAATCAATGTTTTTTTTTTTTTGTGCTACAAAGGGTGAGCGCGGCGGAAACGGGGAGAATGCTTCAAGCTGTTGAAGCGATGACGGTATCAACAAGGCTTCAGTTGGAGCCTGTAATGCCCTGTCGGGTACTTACATTAATAAGGTACTGTACAAGGTACTGTACACGTACTATACCCGCATTGGGGCTTGAGCTAACGGGTACAGGAAACATTCGCTGGTGGAGGCCGTGTACTTTGATGTGTTGGTCCAATCATTGAATAATGACTTTGGAGAAGAGATATCCAAGACATGAGAATTGAGATATCCAGCAATTATGAGTTTGAACTAGCATCGAGAAAGTTACAAAGAGGAGAGAGGAATGTTTAGCTGCTTCCTCGAGTCTCGGGCTCTTCCATGTCACTTCAGAGAGAAGGTGGGTGTCCGGAGCCCATACCAAGAAGGGGGTTGTCCAGATTGGCATGCGCGCCCCTGGCATGTGGCAGTGGCACACCCCGCACCGGACTCTCTGGGTGACACTGCAACACTGGCCGCGCTGTTCTGTCGCATTCAACAGCACTTTCCGTTTCCTGCTCCAGATTCTGTCCATCAGCGGCCAAGGTGTGACGACCACTTTGGCCTCCTCTCCTGCCATCTCCTGACGCTCCGACTTTACGACTTGTTACGACCTCTTGTTCTTTCGTTTTCTTTGGCCTTCGTAATTTTCTTCTTCCCTCGTTGACGGCCAGACCGGACTGTCACCGACGCTGCTTCAGTTGTCGTCGCAGCCATCCCATAGCCTCCACGATATTCAGCATTGGAAGGTTCACAGCCATCTGACGACACGCCCCTCTAATTTTCCGTTTACAGCGACAATCTGAATTGTGTCTTGATACTCGGAATGGCTGACGCGACAGCCCCTCGCCAATACGTCCCCCTGACCTGCCATGGCCATTCACGGCCAGTCCCCCACTTGAGCTTCTCTCCGCTCGAGAAGGAAGATGTGTACTATATGATCTCAGCATGCAAAGGTCGGCGGACCACATCTCTCGATTGGATCTCATTTTCTAATTGGCGCGTGCTGCAGATGGCAACCCGATGCTCCGCGACGGTCAGACAGGCGACTGGATTGGGACTTTCCTCGGCCACAAGGGCGCTGTGTGGCAAGCAAGACTGAGCCCCGACGCTACGACCGCTGCAACGGCATCGGCCGACTTTACTGCAAAGATCTGGGACACCCACACTGGAGAGCTGCTGTACGTCCTGCAACATGATCATATCGTCCGGGCCATCGCCTACCCATATGACCAATCCGGCATGATTGCGACTGGCGGTTTCGAAAAGAAGCTTCGGATTTTCGACTTGCAGGACCAGCAGCCTCCTGGGGAGCAGTCGTCGGCGAACTCTAATGTTGTCAACCCAACTACTGTCGAGGCTTCGCGGGCGTTCGAGATCGGCGAGGGTGTGCACAAGGAAGCCATCAAGTTCATCGTCTGGGCTAAGGATCCTCGTGTCATCATCACCGCATCGGGTGACACCCTTCGTTGGTTCGATCTGCCCACTAGGCGTTGTGTCCGCGAGGTGAGGCTCGAGGGCGAGATCAAGTCGTGTGAGCTTGTGTCCCTCGCTTCCACGCACAGCGCGCCGACAGACATTGGTGGCGGCCTTCCTGTCCTGGCAGTGGCTGCGGGGAAGACGGCATACTTTTGGGGCGGTTTGAGGGCCGAGGACGAACTGAAGCAAATCAAGCTGCCTCACGGAATTGCGAGTGTGGGCCTTGATCTCAAAGGCAGGAAGTTTGTGGTCGGAGAGGAACCAGGCACTTGGGCCCGAGTCTACAGCTGGGATGATACGAAGGAGCTTGACGTGCACAAGGGCCACCACGGCCCAATTTGGTCTATCGCCTTTTCGCCGGACGGAAACTTGTACGCCACGGGGTCGGAGGATGGTACCATCAAGATGTGGAAGAACTGTGAAGGGTTTTACGGGCTCTGGCGAGGGGGCGTGTCGGTTAATGGCACAGACTAGGAGGTGGACGATCGCCCTTTCCACAACCCGCCTGACGATATTGTCACCGAGATACCTCGCAGTACCGCACCACCGCAGGCTGACAGTCCTGCCGCTCCGGTTATAGCTGATCGTTCGAACTCTGATGTCACAACCGCGGAGAAGGACGCTGGCTCAAACCTCGACTGTTCGCCCGAAAGAATGGGCAAAACCCTGTCACCACCACCTCTTTACCGCGGCTCCGAGTCGTCCTGTTCCGAATCCCTCCTCAGCCACTCGGAGGCAGGCAGGCAGCAGTTGCGCTGCACCTGCCCATCATGCCCCAGGCACGGCAGCCCAGCCAAGTCGGGGGACAGTCGGTTGCAGGAATTCATGCGTCGGTCTGCCCTGTACATGATCAACGCGGCACGGCCTCTGCATTGAATACGCGGTCACCCAACAGACTCTTAGGTTATTTCGGAGGTTATCTGCTTGCCCCGTTCAACGGGCAGTTTAATGTCGCATAGACGGGCACTCGACCGACCTGCATCTTTTGCACTTTTAGCGATATTGCTGCTGCTAGATGGACTATAACATTGCCCAGCTAAGGCAGTTGTTAGGCCACCGTACCCTCTTCAAGGCTTGATGGGCTGTTTGATGTATTCCTCACCGAGCTTGGCTGAGATGGTCATAGCTACTGGGACCGCATAGGCAATACAAACAGCACCAAGCATAAATGAATAACAGTGTTCTCTGCAGTCCAGGGCCTGACCTCAATTGCCGTCGTATCCGGGCACACGGACTCCTGCATATAATCCGCCAAGTGCATATCCGTGACAGATGGCGTTGAAGGTTGAGCTGATGCGGGCATTGGCGGAGTTGGCGGGGTGATCTTGCGCGCGTCAAGGGTAGTTCGTGATAAGAACTTAGCTTATCTCGGCGCGTCGCTTCCAGGTTCTACTTCTATCCTTCTTACTGCAAAATCAACAAACACCTAGAGTAAAGCCGCAACCATATACCTTGTCAATTGGATACTGGACCTAGTGGCTTCGTCTATATACTACGACTTCCACCATGGATGACGAATATGGGAGCTCTGAAAACGAGCAGGACGAGTTGATGGAGGAGGCCGAGGATTTGGAAGCCGAGAACGACGCAGAGGAGGAGAACGAGGAGGAAGAGGATGATCAAGACGAACAAGACGAGCCGGAGCCGGAACAGGAACAGGAGATTGAGCCCGAAGCCGAACCCGAGTCCTTCGATGCCTCGCAAGCACCGGCTCCTGAAGGTCAGCCGACTGGACAAGACGTTACCGCACGCGCATCCGCTGCACCCACGACCCCAGTGACCGTTTCCAAGTGGCGCCCAATATTGCGGCAAGAATATATCGATGCCCCATTATACGACATTGTGCCCACCATGGCAGCGCCGCAGGCCACCAGCATCAATGCCCTCGCCGTTACACCCGATCTTCGGTACTGGATGACGGGCGGCTCTGACGGCTACATCCGGAAGCACGACGGCATGGGCACAATCAACGGCAAGCAGCAGCTCACGGTGGCGCAGCGACATCCCTTCGTCGACAGCGTCGTCAAAGCCGGCATCTTGATGAGCTACTGGGAGAACGAGGAGCCCGCGCCGCCCGGCGCCCGCGCCGAGGATCGAATTCTGTCGCCCGTCTACAGCCTGGCAATACACAGCGGTGCACTGTGGCTTCTTAGCGGACTTGAGAGCGGGGGCATCAATCTCCAGAGCGTGCGCCACGACGAGGGCAAGAGGATACATTGTCTGAGGGACGGCGGACACACCAACGCCGTCAGCGTGCTGCAGTTGGCGCCCGACGAAAAGAGCGTGTTGAGCGGGAGCTGGGACAAGACGGTGCTCGACTGGGACCTGAACACTGGCAACGTGATACGACGCTTCGAGGGCAGCGGGGGGCAGATCTCGGCGATCGAACTGCGTCCGGCAAGTGGCACGCCCATACCGGCCGAGGCGAGCGAGGTTGAGGTTAGGAGTGAGACGTTCTTTGCCGAATCGAAGCCCCGGGTAAATAGCTTCTTCGCGAATGGCGCCGCAGACGGGGTAGGCGGGACAGACCAGGCGGCCGGCAACGACACAGGGACCGCAGTTGTAGCTGCTGGCTCGCCAGAACACGAGTCACTTTTCGGCAGCCCTGCCGGATCCCTCTTTGGCGATAACGACACGATGGGGGGCGGAGGAGGCGCATTTGGTGACGATGATGACGAGTTCTCCAGGGCCATGGACATGGGGCTGCACGACGAGGCCAACCACGGACTCGACCACTCGGGCGGTTTCACAATGGGCGATGCAGACATGTCCAACCCGCTTCCATTGGACATGGGCGCACCGTCTACGACAGAAGAAGCCCAACCGCCGCAAAACGGGGCAGCCGTCACCATGGCCGACTCTCACGGCCACGTCTCCCACAGCGACACCATGACGGGCGACACCGCCCACGACATGTCGATGGACTTTAGCCAAGCTCCCACCTCCACCGAACCCGCCATGGAACAACCGCCACCTTCCGCCCCCGCGCAAGAAACCCAACCCCCAGACGTCCCTCCACCCGCCCACGCCAACGACGGCCCCACTTCCCCCTCCATGGTCTTCGCCTCCGCCGCACCCCCTCCCCACACCGACCCGACCCAGTCCTCGTCCAGCACCTTCCTCTCGGCCGCTGTCGACGGCACCATCCGCATCTGGGACCGCCGCGTGCCCGATCCCGTCGCCCGCATCAACAACCGGCGCGGGGTGCCGCCCTGGTGCATGGGCGCGTGCTGGTCGCCCGACGGCAACTGGATTTACGCGGGGCGCCGCAACGGAACCGTGGAAGAATACTCGATCCACAAGGCGACCAGTGGCTGGCATCCCGAGCGCGCGCTCAAGTTCCCTGCGGGATCGGGCGCCGTTAGCTGCGTGCGGCCCATGCCCAACGGCCGGCACCTCGTGTGCGCATCGCACGACATCCTCCGGCTGTATGACCTGCGCGACACGTCGGCGTTCAAGCACAGCAAGGTGCCCTTCATCATCATTCCCGGCCCGCCCCGCGCCGGCGTCATCTCGCACCTATATATTGACCCGACCTCGCGCATCATGATCTCAACGGCGGGGACGAGGGGGTGGGACGGCACGTCAACCGAGGTCTTGATCGGGTACGAGATTGCGGTTGCCAAGTAGGCTCAGGTACAGCGCCCGTTGAAGCCGAGGAATCCGCGGTGGGGGAGTCAGTGAATTTGGTTGGAGCGTTTCTAACTTCGTACGCCCTCTGGGAGGCTACCGTCGCACATGAACGTCGAACCGCAAGCTCCAGGACGTAGCATCGTTGTCTTTGGGTTTTCAAACCGGAAGGCGTGACTGGGTGGGGATCGGCTGGCTGGGGATACCCCTTGAAATTGGCGTCTTGGTTTATCATACTTGTATCTTCACACTGTCTGAGAAGTCATTCACAACATGGGTCTCACCAAGGTCGTTGATATCAGATGGCTTTGTCACCTAAAAGCGAGGAATATGCAAGATGCCGTCAGGGACGCAATGCTAATTGCCGACAAAGAGTACGCTACACACCTCTCGACCCATCCATCGCTCTTTAGCTCCTAGCCTCTTAAACACCATCCTGATACCGCTAGGAGATAGATGCGCTGTGTCTAGCAAAGATGTCCGCTGAAATGAGTACCATAAACCAACACAGAATACAATTCTACAGAGGGGTGGTCAAATAGCTCGGGGTAGAACGGATTCAGGATGTGTCGAAGCTCTGGCTTCATGCGGCGCTGCTGTTTGAGCATGACAAAGGGCATGTCGAGGTTGACTAGTCGCTGGAAGAGTGACATGTTGAGATTGTAGGGTTCGTCACCGAGGCGCTGAATATCACACTTAGGCGCAAGCTGCTTGTGGTCGCCCACCAGTATGAATTACTGGATAGAGGGGTACAGAGCCGACACAGTGTTTTGTTCGCGGGTCTCTGCTGCTTCTTCGATGAGGAGCGACTGGGGCTGCATCGCGGCAAGGCATCCACGGTACTTGGTCGGGCCTGTCGTTGTGCATCCGACGATGTCGATTCTCTGCTCCGAGACAAGCTGGGTATTGCCCAGAAACTTGATCGCCTTGCGCTTCTTGCAAAGCTCGACGTTTTCAGCAAGAAGGGCGGCAAACTTGGGAGCCATGGCCTCAAGGAGCTTGGCGTGAAAAAACTGATAGACAGCACCGCGCAGACCCCTGTCAATTGCGAACAGGTCATTGTTTCGCAGCGCTCGCTGTACGGCGCGGTCCCATGATGTCAGGTTGGATGGGTCCTTGCCTGACCAGACGTGCTTTAACGTGATGGCCGGCCCTCGAAGGTGGGTTTAGTCTTCTTCGTCGTCGGCGATATCCTCCAGGTCATCATCTTCGCACTCGAACTCTGGGAGATTCTTGCGAACCTCTGCCTCATTGAGTTCCAGCTGTGTCGGATGGAGCTCCTGGCGGATTTCGGCACGAATGAGACTGTTTCCGAGCCAGAGTGTGAAGGGACCATGATGCGTGACAACTTCATGGGTTTCCATTTGTTCATCGCCAAGGAACTCATACTGAGCAGGGCTGATGATGCCAAACTCGAGTAGCGCCTTGGGGTTCAACAACCCGTTGCTGGAAAGACTGTTGACGAGTTCCTGGATCCTTTTCGTGTTTGCCTGTCGCTCCTGATCAGCCAAGCGGCGCTTCCGCTCAGCGGCGATTTGACACCGGTGGCGCAGCTCAAACAAAGTATAAGGCTTGATCACTTCGCTCTGGGTTCTCCCTCCCATGCGGAGGACGGTGGCACTGGCGTTGATGCAATGTGTGAGGAGTTGATCTAATGCATGGTTCGTCTGGGCCGCGACGAGGATAGGCGGTCCCCGGCGCCGTCTTCTGTTCGCCACCAAGATTTTGAGTGCCTCCACCGACGTGTACGTTTTCCCGGTTCCCGGCGGACCTTGAACAATCACGAGCTCCTTTGAGATGATGCGATGTAGACCAAGAAGCTGGGATTCGTCAAGGAAGGTAAGATCCTTCAAGTTTGGCGGCCCGCTATGGACGATGTCGTATGCGCTCAGCTCGTCGGCAATGTCGGCGTCATCAGAGGTGGCGCGGCTGGCGAGTATAGAGATGTCCATGATTGGTTCCTCCTTGAGGAATACAGGGTAGTTGTCTTCATCACAGGCGCCGGTGAGATACTTGTCAATCGGCGAGCTAAGAAGACGTTGATTAGCTTCTGCTTGTGGTCTTTGTTACCGACTTCCGGGCTAACGCACTCAGTCCGGGCGGCATGTTGCAATCCGATCAATGCATGGCGGGCCGACTCAAAATATCCGTGCAGAGACTCGACCATAACCATTTCCAGAGTCGGGTCTAGCACCGCGTCCTCGGGCTTCGCCCACTGGAGATCGACAAGCGGTGGGTCTTGGTCGAGGCCGTCATGGTAGGGGCGCTGCGCAACGGTTGCGATTTTGCAGATGGTTCTGAAGTTGTCGCTCTTTGGGGAGAGAGCCACAATTTTGCCTGGCTGAAACCGCTTTGACTGCTGCCACTGTATCCGGAACTGCGACCGTTCCGTGGAGAACGACACTCTGACTAGCCGGCCGATGGTTGTCATGATGTATTGCTTGACATATACCTGAAAACAAAGTCAGCTTAACGAGACATAGTTATCGCCAGGTCGACCACACAGTTGAGAGTTACATGAGTGTAAATATTGGTGTATTCGTCATCCATCATGGGCTCCCTACAGCGATGGTCGGCGACGCTTCTCACTGAGTACCGCAGTCCCTCGGTGGCCTCGCAACGCAGGATCGAGTACTGCGCTGCCAGGTAGTGATCTTTGGACGACCAGGGGGACATCTACCGGGTTATGTTGGAGCTCTTCAACCTCGGACTGCGCCTTCAGGATCTCCTGTGCAGTGGGAAGTTCGGGCTTGGACTGCCAGCCCTGGCCATCTTTGGGTCGGAAGAAGACATGCTGTTCGACAATGTTTATTGCGGACTGTAGAACAACAATCGGATAGTGGGTTACAGTTTCCAGAAAGTCTTGCAAGGCTGGCGACGCGAGAAGACTGACCTGAGTGGCCACATCGGTGCCTATCATATCCATGCTGGCTTACCGCAGCTCTTGGCTGTCTGTTGGCGGCGAATCTGTGAGACTGAGAGCCAGATACTTCGACCTGATGATGAAGAGACCGTGGGAGCCAGCGGGATTCTAGACGACAGGATCACGCAGGTGGAAAGGAATGAGGAAACACAAGAGGCGGAATGTTGGGGGTCATGGAGGCGCTCCATAATTGAGGAAGCCGTTCGTTCCTCTCCCCCAAGTTCTAGGTTTCTGTTCGTGTCGAAGGGAGTTGTGGCTTGACAGCATTCCAGTTGGTTATTTGAACTTTGAAGCTCAAGTTTGGGCGCGGTGGTGGTACTGGTCCAAGCAAGGAACGATCTCCCACCCTCTCGCCAATCCGGATGAAAGCAGGCGACCGCCTCACAGTGAGCGGATGGCGGCAGTAGTACTTGCTTGCACCGTGACCCCTAAAGCAGCCACTGTTTCTTGACCGACAAACAGTCAACCGCAGTCGCCAAGGCGCAGATACCTGTTACACTCTCATTGTTTGCCAAAAATCAGTAAACGAATCTGCCGAACCACCTCAGAGAGGCACATCGCCCCTTTGGGTTGCTTGTCCCTCATGGTCCTCGCAAAGCAGAATCTGCAGAGATCTGTCACTGGGGAGACACCAGATGATGATGTTGGTGAGTCCCCTTTATTTTTCTTTTTTTCTTTTTCTCTTTTTCTCGTCGTTATGGGTACGTTTAGCACAGCTCGTCGGCGACTCGCCGCCAGACCATCGAAGCCGCGAACAATTACACGTATCCGTTGATTCATGAATATTCAACGGTACTGCCCGGCATCATTGATATGTATGTGAATTATCCCGCAGCGTGATGATTACCGTAGTTATTTGCTTGGCTGGCATCTGGTGCTTGATTTAAGGCATTCAGCCATACTTAGCAGACAAGCAGAGAAAATGTTTGCTGTGCGTCAAGGTTGTTTGTCTTCACTGATTGACGGGCTATTATCAACATTAGGCCAGAAGGTCTGCCTGGCTTGGGTACCTTGTATGGTCTGACATGGGAGTTTTACTGGTAGAAGTGCGCACTCCATACCGCAAGACAGCATCCAGAGATTGTTCAGGGCAGTTTGGTGACTTCTCGCTCACCTGGTGGGACATGAGTAAGGTAGCGCTTGAGGGAACCACGCAGCTAATTACCAAGGTAGAAAGAGTAACGTTATCCATTAATCAATAAGGAGCAGACTTTCACCTTGTGGCACGATCTCAGTGCATACAATGCCAGAATTTGTCTAGCAGGGCCAGCTTCAAAGTTCATGGCAACAAAATTCATGGCATCATGGCAGCATATTATGTCCTGGCAAGCCATCATTAACAAAGGCCTCAAGTTGGACTTCTTGGGGTTGATTTCCCGATCAGAATAATGGGTGACTGAGCTGCAAAGAAGGTTCATGCGAAAGCTGTGCCATGCACGTCAGACATGCCTAGTCTATGACCTAATTGGCCCCAGTCACAGAAATCCATGATGTTATGTTGAGCCCTTACCTAGGAATCAAATTTATGGTACAGGTACCTGGCCGCTCCTGCCGCGCCGCTTCGTTAAATGTTCCAGGTACTACTCTTTTCCAGAGATCGAGACACACCAGGCCGGATCATGACAAATCTCAGGTTGGGTCGAGTCTCCGGATGCTGTGGAAGGACTCGGAGAAGTGTCCAGCAGTCGTCATTGACCCACTGGGGCATGACTTTGATCGGATGAAGAGCTTCTGTGATGGGGTTTACAGTATCTCCCAAGACGTCACTGAAAGGCGGGACCCATTGGTCCAGAAGCATATAGTCTGGCTACACCGGGGATGAAGTGTCGCAATTTTCCCAGGTCCTCGATCCATCAACCTGAACACTTTTTCCAGTCATTAAAGCTAATCGTTGAACGATCAAACACTCGCAGACATACCGCGCACACGCCGAAAATGCCTCAGTACAAGGAAGGTGATCAAGTTCGATACAAGCCTGTCGGCGGTGAGTACCTATCTGGTTTTTCAAAACACTGTTTAAACGCCTGAGCTCATGTTGATGGCGTCAATTTCAACAGGCCCTGACTCCAAGACTTCTGAGAGCGTCGGCACCATCAAATCATGCCTGACTGAGCCTGGCCGTCAAGCTGGTCGCAATGTGCAAGCGAGCGAGGAGCAGCCTCGATACGAGGTGATATCTTACCGACTGCAACACATGTGGAACCTGACAAAGGCTAACCGTTCATAGGTTGAGAACTCCAATACCGGCAAGGCGACCACCATCTACGAGGCAAACATTTTGGGCAAGGCCTAACCAACGTCGAGGTCGACTGTGCTTGTGGAATAGCTATCATACAGGCTGGGCCAGGTCAATTCTCTGTCCCATCATCTTAGGTAGTAGCACTCATGAAATTCACTTTTATCATCGCACGTGCCGACTTTCATTAAGTACCGGTATCAGTTTCTATGCCTATAACTAACCGAGGTAGATATCGTCGTATGTACATGATTGGGTCGTGGTCCATGGACCTTTTCAACGATCTAAGTTGAGACAAACTTTGTATCAGGTACTCACAAACACAACTGGCAAGCCGCCCACTATACTTAGTTTCAAGGATTAGTGAATGGGAGGGAACAGGATAAAGTACCTTGGTACCTACTTCAGGCGCTCATGTTGCAATCCAGGGCCTCATATCCTTGATACCTATCCTAGTAGTACCCGCTTGCCACTGCACACATCTAGTGGTACGTTCAACATAGCATGCTACCAACTTTCCTATTGAACGTGATGCTGTGAACAGCATCAGGTTACTCTTACTTTGCATGAGCGCGATATAGGGGATAAATGCTAGAGCAAGTGGGGCACGTGCGAGCAAGGCAAGCACGCCCCCTGCCGGCCCATCCTGGTCCTCACGTCCGGCGACCAGAAAAGGCAGAAGGACTATGAGCACGTTATCGCCACCTCCAACCTCCTCTTCCGCTTCTCTCGGCCCGAGTGCGCCGTCCAGCCCGGAAACACAGCCCAGGTGCAGGACGTGATTCGCGAAGCTAGGAAGTTGGGGCTCAAGGTCACCATCAAGTGCAATGGGCACTCGTACGCCGGCTATTCGACCGCCCATGAATTCATTTCCCTAGACTTGCGCCGCATGACCAAGGTGTCTCTGGATATGGGTAAAAGCTTGGCCACTGTCGACGCTGGGTGCCAGTGGGGACATGTACACGGCAGTCTAATCAACGGGCGACACAACGGGGACATCGTTGTCGGGGCCGCTGCCCAACGGTGGGGGTTAGCGGCTTCATATTGGGCGGCGGGCTAAGCCCTTTCACCAGAAGCCTCGGGATGGGGAGCGATTCTTCGGAGGAGGCGACGGGTTATGACAGCAGATGGGGAGGTCGTGACGGTTGAGAAGGACGACGACTCCATGTCAGGGAATAGCCGGCTGTTCTGGGGACTTCGAGGAGCCGGGGCCTGTAAATTTGGTGTAGCGGTGGAAATGAAGCTGAAGGCGCAGAAACTCGCGAACAAGAACGGGAAAGTAGTCGCCGGAAGGTACCAATGATTTCCCGAAAATGGGCTCACAGCTGACGTCTTCGCGACCATGAACGACTTCTACACTACGGACTGGCTGAGGAAGATGACCATCGGCAGTACGTGGACCTGCGACCTGCGTCAGCCTGAGGCGACGCAACGCGGGGTGAGGTTCACGCTTACTTTTGACGGGAGCGAGCGCGAGTACCACAAATGGATCAACGACTCTACCAAGCACATGAAACTCAAACGTCAGCTGAAGCGGCGCGCATTGGAAGAGCAGTTGACGAGGTTTTGGTACGAAATGCTGGTGGCCCAGTGGCTTGAGGAAACTGAGCGGGTGTACCCGAGCGACAAGACCTACGAGCTCTACAGCTCTTTCGTCTTCACCAACGGAAGCAAGGACAAGTTCCATAAGATCACCTCCACCATCCGCCGCCTGATGGAAAGATTTAGGTTTCGCTTCAAGGAGGAACAGGTCAACTTTCTCATCACTTGGACCCATACCGGCGGCAGAGCGACCGATATAATGGAGCCCTCGGAGTCGGCGTACTTTTGGCGCGAAGCAGTCTACCACACCTACGTCACGATCGAGTGGGTGGACAAGTGGATGGAGGGGGATATGGAGCCTTCCTGCGCGAGGTCAAGACGGAATTGCGGCCATTGTCGCTGAATGGCGAGGCGGCTTTTGTAAACTTTCCCACCCTGGACAGTGAGGACTTTCCGAGCAAGTCACATGAGAGCGCTTACTTTGGGGACAACTGTTAAGAGCTGAGGAGAGTTAAGAAGATGTGGGACAAGGACGATTTCTCAAGTGGGATCAGGGTGTGGAGCTGCCGGGACGAGGTGAGGGTGGCGACTCGGAACTTGAACGAGGAGGACGAGGAGGACAAAACCGATCGGCTGGCAAGCGAGCAGGGGAAACACTTCCGGACGAACAACTGGAACACACAAAGAGGACACTCGGGGAGTTGACTGACTTGGGCTTTTGAACCCATGTAAATGACCCCATGCTTGGGCTTAAAGGGGAGAATCATTCTGATTCAATAAGGTACTTCTAGCTCCCTAGCTCCGCTAGGGAGCCTGGTACTCAATTGTATAATTCCAAAGTCTAAAACTCCGGTCCAGCGGCCTCTCAGAGGCCATATCTAAGACTTCCGGTCCGAGCAAGATCAACAGCTGTTCAAAGTTGGCCCGGACGCGTCCAGGTTCGTGGACAAGAACTGCTTTCTGAACTGGGAACAGGGAGGGCTCGTTGCCGCTCGACTGGCTATGCTCGGACGATTGATGTTTACTTCCGAACGAAGGAAAGAATATGAGTCCACCGCTACAACCACTACGAACTCTCTCACAGATCATCCACTGGCGTATTCCCAGTCATCCACGTCAGCTCATTATCTAGCATGAACTGTGTTCCCCACCGGCCTGGGGGATGGTTCACCTTCCACTCCTGGAAGCCCATCACCATTTCATAAAACCTCTCGACATTCGCCTCGGACGGTTCTTCAATCACCCTGTTGATGCACTCCATCAGCCCGTCGGGCTTCTCCTTGACCCCCTCGAGCACCCTCAGAAACCACTTGTGAAACGGATACAGCACCTCGTTGTACGCCAGGATCAGCCTTCCCCCAAACAGCACCAACTTCCTCGCCGCCAAACCAAGAAGATACGCATTCTTCTTCTGCCTCCCCTCGGCAGAAAACCACCGCCATGCCTCCAACTGCACCCGGAACCGCACGATCTTGTCCTCTTTGCTTTCAACAGGGTACCGAACCACCTTCTTAATCTCCTCGTCCAACCCTTCAATCTTGCTGAACAGTACCTGCACGCCCGCAAACGCAAACCGGGCTGGCTCGCTCCCGCGCTCCGCCACGTCGCGTATGAAACCGAGCGAGAGATACTTTGCGTCGACAAACCCGCCGGGATAGGTGGCCAGGTCGAAGTTGACAAAGGTCAGCTGGCGGGTCTCGCGGTGGCGGGCGTAGGCTTCCTCGGTCAGGATGATGAGCATGTCAACGTCCGACGTCTCGGTGGCGAAGCCGTGCGCGATCGAACCGCTTAGCAGGAGGGCCAAGACATCGGGGTTGGAGGAGAAGTAGGCGGTGGTGTTTTGAATTGTGGAGGCGTGGTGAGGATACATTGTCGTTTGTTATACGGAGGGTGTGCTGGGTGTGGTTTGGTGTTAGTTCGCTGGAGGTGATGATGTGGGGGACCTGGACTCGGTGCTGTGAGAGAGGTCGGGTCAGCAGCAGCATGTGCTCTATTTATGACCGCTTGCTTACCGGGGACGAACCAGCCGCCACTGGACCCTCGTGCCGCATACTAAGATGGCCCTGTCCTGCATAGGGCTAGCTGACATCGTGACCTTTGCCCGCCGCTATCGGCCCGTATCGGCTAATGTGCACTGCTTGGCGGGCAGACCAACCGGTAATTAGTTTGACAGGAGAACTCCTCGGACCCTTGAACGGGTGCAGGCGACGATTGCCTATTCCAAGTCGGAGGTCGCCCGGGGTGGCATGCATCAGGCGTGCGGTCGGAGGGCCCCGTATCCGCGCTCCAGGTTGTATCTATGCATTGCAGGCCATCGTGAAAATGCTGTATATGGGCATGGCATCTTAAAGGACAGGAGAACCCGGTATTGTTGCCTTGCAGTCACAACGTTGTTGTCTCAGAGCTGAAGGGAAGTTAGGGAACCGGATCGAACGTCGACCGGTGCTTGAAGAAACGCACCGTGACCCAAAATCGTCTCGGACAATAAAACTGTCTCTTGAAATTCGCGTAGATGCCGGTCGTCCAGGACACCCGGATGTTGAAAAGAGAAGGGACATGGTGATGTAAGAGAAGAGACGGAGAGCACCAGTGACACCCTAATGCTCGCAGAAGTTATACTCAGCCGATTCCCAGTTCTCCCTCGCATTTTCCTGGAAAGCCGACCGGGATTCCATCAGCTTCTTACGATGCTCTTCAGCCTCCTTGCGGCTCATAGGCAATCCTTTCCCTAGCTCCTTCCGCACCATGTCCAGCAGCTCGGCCGGCAGCTTCGCATTCCCATGCTTTTGGTCCGTCAGCGCTTCGGCCAGCTGTCTCCCGGCCAGGCCATGTTCAACCAGCAGCTGAGAGATCTCGGGCGGCATGTTCGATGATCCCTCGTCCTTCTTCCGCACGATTGTGCCAAGAGCCTGCTCGGCCCACCAGTCGGCCTGTTGAGGTGGGACATTGGCCGTGCTGACGATGCGCATCGACGGATCGACCAGCCAGAGCGCGATGAACCGGCGATGGCCCGGCTTGGTCGGATCGGCGAGCCGAAAGCCAGAAACACGATGATGAAAGATGTTGGGGAAGGCGAGCAGGCGGCCCTGCGGGGTAAGCACACTGCCGTAGTTCTGCACACAGGCGCTGCCGGAGCCCGAACCCAGCTTGGCGCCGAAGACGCTCTCCATCCAGTGGTACGAGTCCTGGCCGACGTGCAACTCCATGTGAAGGTCAGACTCCGTCATAGCGCGAAATTCGAGGTGGCTGTCAGTGATGTTCTCCGAATCTAGATAGTAGAGAGCCGTGGCGGCAATTTGCTCGTTCATCATCCCCTCGACGTGCCAGCCGCCAGGGGCAAACTCAGGCTTCTCCGGGGTGAGCTCAATGGACGCCATCTTGATAATGACCTGTAGGCCTATTTCCTTGAAACGTTCTCGCAACGTCTGAGCTGGATCCACTGCGTACTTGACTTTGCTCACAGAAAAGGAGGGAGGGTTTGGTTGGACGGGGCAGCGTATTTTCATCCACCGGCTCCAGTCGCTGTCGTCTTCGTCATCGGAGGAGAAGTCCTCGTCAGAATGACTTTCTTCTTCACTGCTGGATCCGTCTGTTTCTTTGCCAGGCGCCTGCTTTGGCTCCATGGCAGCTTCCGCGGCAGCTTCGTTGACAGGCTTCCCGGCGGCCTCCCTAGTAAGCATTTGCTCTGGCGTTCTCGGATCCCAATTCCTCGGGTTTTCGTCACTGAGAGTACATGTCAGCCAGGGTCCGAGTAATGAGCCAAGGAAAGACTCGACAGCGTGCCCAGGGAGATAAGCGCGATACATACTCTGGGTTATCGGGAATGATGCGAGGCCCGAGTCGTCCGGCGCCGTACTTATGCCATCCTTTGAGCTGTACAAGGCACTGGTCCCACATGGGAAGGGCTATTCCCAGGAGCTTTTCGATGGCCGTGTAGATATGACCGTACTTGGTCGGATGCAGGTTGTTGATGTAGCTTGTGAACCGCACGCCGCCGTCGGACGTGAACTTGACGTTTGCCGGCAGCCACTGATAGACGGTGGACCAGTAGGACTTGTGAATCCCCAACCCGCCAACCCCGACGTCAGCCTTCCCGTTCCACCGGCTCCACTGGCGTGGTGTCCCCCTTGCTGGCTCCTCGCCCAATTCCGGACGTCGAGGGATCACGTCGCCTTTGCCGGCCCACTTGTCCACGGCGTCCTCGACGCCGACGACCTCCTCCGGGATAAAGCGCGAGCGGCCGTACACCAGTGGGTACATGGAAGGGTGGACCAGGTCCTGAACCGTTTCGTTAGTGTTGGGGTGCCAGTCCGGGTTGGAAGCCTGGTCGACCTGCAGCTGGGCAAAGGCCTCCCGCAGAGCAACGTGCAGCTCGCGAGGGACGAGGACATCCGACTTGGCGATGCTGAAGGTCGCATCAAGCGTAGGGGTGATGCCGGTGCGCTCAAAGTGCCTCGCTTTGTGGCGCAATTCCTTGATGCACTTTTCGTCGTCAGCGGGGGCGTTCATGGTCAAGGGTTTTGAGGCTTGAGCGTTTGAGGGCACAATGGTAGAAAATTCATTTACATAATCAACAGATTCCTTGTTTAGTATGTGTCTCGACATTTTTGGCTTCCATCGTGATTCCATGTCGTGATCGATGTTGGCGATGCGTTTCCACAAGTCTTCGTCGGGCCAGGCGAGGGCTTCGGCCTTCCACTTCTCCGCAATCTCGTCGTCAAAGATCTTGACGTTCCAATTCGGCTTGTCGCTCAGGCGGTCCATGACCAGCATCATCGCCACCTCACGAACGAGGAGCATGTGCGATTGGGCGCCGACGCAGTTGTAGTGAATGCCCTTTGGATAATCCCAGTTCTGAGAAGACCGGCGGTGATTGTCAGGCGGGCCGGTCCAGCGCAGGTCCAGGTTCCAGCCAGGGTAGCTGGGCATCTTCGAGGCGCTTGAGGACATGACAGGCCGATGGGGAGGTATAAAGTGCTGGTGTATGAGGTCGGCCCAAGTGACAGAACCCTTGAACAAGACGGGAGTTGGGCCCAATTGCGAAGCGGGCGGTGTTGGCGATTGGGAGCACGGGGTTGATGAGAAGCAACATGTCGGTTTATTTATGGTCATCCGTCACAATGCAATCGCGGTTATGGGCTCCCCGACTTGCGGCCGACGCCGACTTCTGCCCTGTGTCTGCCTGCTTCAGTGCCTGTTAGTTCACAGGCAGAAGCCCCCAGACCCACTTTGATTCCGTCTCCCCGTCAACCAGCCCCTGAGTTTTTGACTGATTCCCCGTCGCTGAAGCCAGCAGGATGATGAGTCGATGGCCCATTTGTCAGGACTCAGACATGATTGGAGCTGAGCGATTTCCGTTTTCGGAATACCTTGGCGTAGTTTTGCCGGGCACGAGACTCAGAGTTCTGGTGGATGGGTTTGAGGTGGAGGTTTATCCTCTGCTGCTGTATTTGGTTAGGTAAAGTGTAAAGAACAAGGCAGGTATTAGAGCAGACCAACCCATCAGTGCTGAATTGGTTGCAGCTCTTCAGGACAGGCGAGATAGCTGGCGTTTCTCCACAATTCTGTGCTGGTATAGTCGTGTTAGGCGCCACTACCTCCTCCTCGGAGCTCCTTCAGTGTCAGCGGATTCTCCAATGCATAATCTGGAGTAAATAGTGGAAATTCACAGCCATCGACGTCCTCCTTGACAGTGACAGGAACCTGGCAGAGATTTTTCACCGTCGAAGCCATGGGCGTAAGTAGCGAGCTGCTGCGCAGAGAGCAAGCGCCGTTGTACTAGTACAAACAGGATTCGACATGGTAAGCAGCATGTATTTGACAGCCCAGAAAGCACGCTCAAGTCATTCCCTAAGAAAGGTAAATAGACCATTACCGTAGTCGCAATATGTTGATCGAACCTGTATGCTGTGTCGGTTGGTTGAATGGCCGCAATGTACGAATAGAGAAACGGGGTGTGTCGCCTATGAGGGTCAGTTCGTGACGCGCTCTGTCACCCGCCTATGCCGCTATCCATGTCATACTAGTTGTTGGGTCGTAGCTGATTCACCGAGAAACTACAGCAGCGCGAATGGTCGGCACAGAAGGTCGGACTAGTGCAATGGTATCGCCGTTGAACCAGAGGAACGAATCCGGGCTGCAACGCAACGCTAAAGTCAATGACTCCTTGGTGGAAGCGAAGATTGGAGGAAGTGTCGATAGTACCACCACAAGGTGCCCTTGACTGCCAACCCGAAGGGCTACCTGTAACCCTTGCCCGTGGACAGGTCACATGTTATTGCGGCTGTGGTTCCCAACTTAGTGTGTCGAGGTTGCTCGCCCCTGCTCGATCTTCTCGGACTTTGCGGCCTTGGCCCACGCGTCTCCATGTGAGTGCGCTCTCTTTGGCAACGAACCTGAACTCCATGCATAGGGAAAGACTGGCGCCGTTGAGCGTGAACTTTGATTAAACATCCTGATCGTGCCCAGCGACGTGGGGTTTTCCACGGACAGCCACTTGCTTTTGGCGTAGAATGGTAGCAGGGGCTGTGAAATGTTGAGAACGGAGAAACCCGCTCGCTGACCTCTTTTGCTGGTTGTACTCGGCAATGCCTGGGTAGAGATTCGTGTTGGAGTCCAAGAATTTCAAGTTCCAAGTTGGCCACGCTTCTCGTCTCTTCGTTCTGGGAAATGAATGTGATTCAGGGTTAGGGCTATGCACATGATGTCGTGCGAATGCCGTGTTTGACAGAGATCTCAGGACGGGGCTTCACTTTATTGCCACCACACCATCTCCCATTCTTGTTCAACGATTTCCAAAAATGTGAACTCTTCAAATATTCGAAGCGGACTTGGCTTCAGTCAAACAACTGCGGTCGGATTCAGCCCAAGTTGACAGAGAAATCGATACTAGATCGACAATGGGCGCTGACTACGGCGTCAGCTCCGGAGCAGCATCGCCTGCGACCGCTCAAGCATCGAGCCGTAAGCGCAAGCATGCCGACTATGCGACCGATGCTCGATTTAGCAGAAAAGTCACCATCACATCTCAGCACAACCCAAGCGCATCTATCGCGTCCGACAGTCCTCCCACAGACACGCCCTCGAAGATAGTGAAGGTGCCCAAGGCGAAACCCGCCGCAGGTGAAGAGAAGCGCCTCCGACGGTATGACTTCCTTACTCTCTCCCTTCGTATCGCCCCGAAGCTAACCACCCCTCCTTCCACCTTCTAGATTCCGCCCCAAACCCCCCAAATCCTTCCTCGAAGTCTACCACCGCGCCACCACCCAGCGCTTCTACGTTCTCTCCCGCACCCGCCACGATTCCTCCACGTCCTGCCCAGAAGAAACCGTCGAGTTGACGGGCTCGACAGGCAACATCTACACGGTCGTCGTCGCGCGGCAGCCGACCTGCACATGCCCGCACGCGCGCGAGGGCAACCAGTGCAAGCACGTTCTGTACGTCTTGTCGCGCGTGCTCAGGGCGCGGTTTGAGCTGGTGTATCAGCTCGCACTGCTCGAGGACGAGGTGAGAGAGATTTTAGAAGGCGCGTCGGTCCCTGGCACAGATGGCGGCGGTGATGGTGGGAGCGGGAATGGCAAGCGCAAGCCAGTCAACGGGGACTGTCCGATTTGCTTTTGCGAGCTCGAGGGGGAGGCGGTGGTGTGGTGTCGCGCGGAGTGCGGGCAGAATGTGCACAAGGGCTGCTTTGAGACGTGGGCTGCGACAAAGAGGAAGCAGGGCGCGGGGGAGGTGACCTGTCCGTATTGCCGGAGTGTGTGGGAAGGGGATGAGGATATGATCAAGGTGATACAGCGGGATGCCAAGAGAAATGCCGACGGATATGTCAATGTGGCGTCGCAGTTGGGGATTAGTACGCAGCGAGGTGAGTTTTGTGGCAAAGGTCGTCCGTGGTTGTCGAGCTGGCTGACTTTTTCCCCTAGATTACAGCACGTATTCGAGATGGTGGTCTGGTCACCCATCCGGCTATCGTCGTCAGTATTGAAGTGGCCCGGGAACACCATCACGATGGGAGGACTCTGGGCATCAATGCTTTATCCCTGTGCACTGGTGTCTGAAGCCGACACCAGCCGTCTGCAGTCATTAAGGAAACTGCAATGGTGGCTAGGATTACCGTCCTGATCGTCTCTATCGCATCCAGCTTCTTCGCTTAATCCTTCTTCTCCAGCTTCTGGCCGTACGCGACGTGACTGCATGACTTGTAAGTATTGAGGGAAGCCCAGCTGCAAGCAAGAAGTAACAACTCACAAGTCAAACTGGATATGCAGCTTGGGGTCCTGGAGCTCACTCCGCACCTTGGCAAGCAGCACGAGAACCTCCTCCCGCTGCCAGCCAAGAACGTGGCAGAACAGCCGCAGCGAGAAAGCCTCGAGGCCGCCCAAGATTTGCATGAGATTGTAATAGCCGATCTCCTTCAGTTTCGGGTCCCTTGGCCAGGGTCCGAGGGGAAACCGAAACCTTTGGTGCGTGACGTTGGCGAAGCCGGCGTCGCGCATCCACCCTTCCAGCTTTGGGCCAGGGCATGGGTCGCGCTCCGTCTTGCGAGCCGCCTCGAGCAGCGTGTTGATCCATTGCAAGGTGTGCTTCTCGGGTGTCAGAGACCCGTCCTCCGAGTAGTACTGCAGGTCGTAATCCTGGAACTCAGCCCAGCCGCCCGGTGTGAGGTTGCTTTCTTCGGGGTTAGTCTAACTAGCTTCGCAATTTTTTGAGGGGTAGCTGAAGGGGACTCAAACGCACTCGTAGACGGAATGGACGAGAGCGGGCCAGTCCTTGATGCAGGTACACATGTACCGGCAAAAGATGAAGTCGAAGGGTGCCTCGTATACCCAGGGGGATTCTACGTCGTCGATTTCAAACTTGACGTTTGGAGGAACCCATGGCGGCTGAATCGCGCTGAGATCGTTTCCCAGAACCTGTGCACCAATTTAGTGTCGGCGGATCACTCGGTGGTGGTCTGCCAGCCATACCTGTGCGTTGGGGTATTCATCACCCATACACATGGCCCCTAACGACGTGGTCACCTGTCAGCCACATGCAGTGCAGCATACTTGAGCAAAGTGGGTTCCTGAAGCTCCTACATATGCCGGTGCCCGTCCCGATATCAAGAACGCGGTGCATCTTGTCTGTGTCGATAGGGGCCAAAAACAGATGGTCGCCGATGCCCTTGGTCATCAGCGCGTGCGTCAAGTCGAGACGTTCCTGTTCAATCTCGTCGTTGGGTAGGCAATAGACTGGTGGTTTCCAGTTAGTCTCGGAGAGTCGCAGCAACAGATATCGGAGAGGGGACAATGGACACACCTCCGGCCCGGAAGGCGTGGTAGCGGCGGCCATTCTCTACGGGGTAATCGAGGATGCTGGACGTGATGGACGCAGTGAAAGTCGAGCTGTCGGTAGTGCTCTGTTAGAAATGGGCGAGCAGCAATTTGTCCAAGACTAGGAGATTGCGTACATCTCTTCAATGTTGACAGAAGCCCCGTCATCCTGGCAACAGGGGAAGCCAGTCAGTCCTCGGCTATTCCACTCGCCATTTATTGTTGGTTATGAAGGAATGGAACAAACCGAGTCAATTTCAATGTGTTGCTCAACCGCTTGCGCCATGGTTGGAACTTTCAAACCCGGCTCAATTGGTGTGCGTATTGAGATTTTACTGAAAACAGTAACCGGTCGAGACTGGCAGATGAGGATAGAAACATGGTGGACCGCAGACCTTCACAGCGGGGTTCTGCATTCCCTATTTTTATGACCCACGAGGAGCAGAGGCGATCGGACCGGAGGGAGCACCGGCGCAAATGCAGTTCAACGCGGGCGAGCCCGATTGGGTGATTGGAGCGGGGTACCCTGCAGCATTTGCGGACTGAAAAGAGCGGCGAGATAGCAGTGCGCCGAGACGATGCGATACTGCAAACGGTGGTTCATGCAGTTCAGAACTTCAGAACCACCAACCCGGAGACTCCGGCCCGTTCCTTGGCCGTGTCAGGTAACGTTATCATCGGGCGATATTTCCTTGTTGGACTTCGCTTCGCGGCCTGTGCTTGCACGAGTTGGTGGTAAAGTGGAATTTTTGCTAGCTGCAGGTTGCGATTGGTTCAGGTCTGCGCTACACATTCACAGCACCACCTGACCACTCATCAAGTTAAGGTAGGAATCAGATGTCGGAACTATCCATGTACATGCCTTGAACCATATTTCGTGCTTCCAAAAGTTCAAAATATCTCACTGGCACCAATCTCATGACATCTCTGGAGTGAGCCGCCACGAGTACCGCCCGGTAATAGCTCTCTTATGATTGCTACCCACCATCTTCATTTCATCGTCTCGTCCGCAGGGCATCATTTTCAAAGGCGCAATGGCCGGGTAGGCCACTGGTGCAAATTGAGGTCGGCCTTAGGCCCGGGGACGCTGAGAACTCTAATCAATCACTCCCGAGTTACCACTAAAAAGGTACGTCAAAACCTCATCTCTCTTCCAAGTCCCGACCAGCCGGCCAAACCAGCCACATGAACACCACAACGGCCTTCAAAACCGAGGCAGTCCACAAAGCACCAGCGACCCCAAGCGAGCTGTGGGCGAACCGGCACCCCACAAACGCTCCCATCAACAGCAACAGCGGCGCAGCTGTCCGCCTGTCCCTCTCAACATTACGCAGCACAAACAGCTCCGCGTCCGAGAACAAATCGCAGTAGATACTCGTCAACACCACGCTGGTCAGGGCGTTGTACTTCAGCGCGCGGCTCATGACCGCCTGGCCGCAGCTCTGAAACGCAACCAGGGCGATAGGTACCAGAACCTGCCATCCTATCTCGTCTTTGCCCGCCGGCGGTCCGGTGATGGTCACCAGGCATGCCGCCGTCGCAGTGAGGATGTTCTGGATTATGAAGGAGACGCACAAAACCCAGCGTCGTGTTGGGGAGTAGACGCGATGGAAGCGGCTGAAGACTAAGGAACCGAGGCAGAAGGAGACGAGGGAGACGCCCGATTTGATCCAGCGGGTTGAGTCGGCTGGCGAGGCGAGGCCGAGGCCGAAGTAGACGGTGTTTCCTGGTTGTGAATTTGTAAATTCTACTTCCCTGGGCGTGTCTGGAAGGGGGTTTGAATGATTACCTGTTTGCATAGACACAAAAGAACCCCAGACTGAGATGGAGGCACTATCAAGCAGACCCGTTATGAGATAGCAGAACAGAATGACAAGATCTGCTCTGTCTCGGGAGACGTCTGCCATCAAGTGTGTGCGCCATCGTGAAAGGAAGGAAGCTGCTGTTGATTTCCGGTTGGATTTGGGGTGGTGAAGTAGCGGCGTTTCCTCGTCGCCGTGTGCTTCGGCCATCGCCCTTCAGTTTACGCCAGCCTATTTGGTTGACAATGTAGAAGGAAATTCAGAACGGGGTGTCATAGACTAGAAACTATACCATAAGTCTTAGCACAGTAAAACGTTACCTTTTCCCATGACATGTTAAAGCTTTCAAGATGCATGACGGAATGCCCGGCTCTCGGCGCCGAGAACCGGAGTTCACTTGTAGCGTGAAAGGCTTGGCAGGGGCTGGTCTTCAGGACTTGGCCCAATCCCATCCACCAGATTGGATGATGTCACCTCAAGGGGTCGATGACCAACGACACTTGCCTCGATTCTCAGTCCAGCACAATCAGATATCCGTCCCTGAGCTTGGTTCAATGAGCAGCTGTCTGGATAATCGAAGACGGCCGGATGTCGGTAGGAGCTGCGACTACACTCCGTCTGGGGTGCTGCCATGGATGTCACTGAGAGGGCACATCAGCTAGGGGCCGAGAGCCGTAGGCCTGGGCTGACCATGACACAGAGATGGTATATCTTGTACACTCACCCTTGATGTTCAGTTCATGTTGGCCCTTCTTTATTTTAAAGCCTTTACCAACCTTCCGGAATCACCAGCTGAGCGACCTGTGTTAAGGGTCCGGAGCAGCAACACACAATGCGTCTCTCAACAGCAGTCACTGTCTTGGGTGCCGCCCTCATCAGCGACTTTGCAGCCGCCGTTCCCGTCCAGGACAGCCCAAGACAACGACTCCTGGATGGCAAGCCGCTGCCGGCCAAGTACCGCAAGGACCCACCGGATCCTTATAGACCCGGCTATCGAGACCCCAATGACGGCGCGGTAGACTCCATCGGCAGGAAACTGGACCCCTTGCCATACCGCAACGGTGACGGCACCTCGGTCTTGGGCCCCTGGAACAGGGAGCGAGCTCGCCAGAACCCAGACCTCGTGCGGCCGCCGTCGACAGACCACGGTAACATGCCGAATCTCCGATGGAGTTTCGTCGACTCCCATGTCAGAATCGAGGTTTGTCCGGAATTCCCATTTCGCTTCCCTCCAACTCTTTATTCCCACTGACAGCTCTTCAGGAGGGAGGTTGGACGCGGCAGACCACCGTCCGCGAGCTCCCCGCCAGCATCGAGCTCGCTGGTGTCAACATGCGCCTGGACGAGGGCGTCATCCGCGAGCTGCACTGGCACAAGGAAGCCGAATGGGCCTACGTGCTGGACGGCCGCGTGCGCGTGACGGCCCTGGACTACGAAGGCGGCACCTTCATCGACGACCTCTCCAAAGGCGACCTCTGGTACTTCCCAGCCGGCGTCCCCCACTCCCTCCAAGGCCTGAGCCCCAACGGGACCGAATTTCTCCTCATCTTCGACGACGGCCACTTCTCGGAAGAATCCACCTTTATCCTGACTGACTGGCTCGCCCACACCCCGAAATCCGTGATCTCCAAGAACTTCCACCTCCCGCCCGAGATCTTCGCTCACATCCCCCCCTCTGAACGATACATCTTCCAGGGTTCCCAACCGGGCTCCATCTCGGACGAATTCCCCAAAGGCAAGCACGTCAAAACCTCCAAGTACAACTTCACCCACCGCATGCTTTCCCAGCCGCCCAAGAACACGACTGGCGGCCAGGTGCGCATCACCGACTCCAGAAACTTCCCCATCTCCAAGACGGTCGCCGCCGCCCACCTGACCATCGCCCCGGGCGCCCTCCGCGAGATGCACTGGCACCCCAACGCAGACGAATGGTCCTTCTTCATCCGCGGCCGGGCCCGCGTGACCGTTTTCGGCGCCGAAGGATCCGCGCGCACATTCGATTACCAGCCGGGTGACGTCGGGATCGTGCCCAAGAACATGGGGCATTTCGTCGAGAACATTGGCGATGACGAGGTGGAGATGCTCGAGATCTTTCGGGCCGACGAGTTTCGCGATTTCTCGCTGTTCCAGTGGCTTGGGGAGACCCCGAGGCGGATGGTGGCGGATACGCTGTTCAAGGGGGATAAAGAGGCTGGGGAGCGGTTTTTGAAGGAGATTGGGGATGCGGGGAAGGATGAGATTACGCTGCCGCCGAAGGGGGGTTATGATGAGGCGGAGGGTGGGGAGGACGAGTTGTAGTGGGGGATAAAAACAGTCCTGGTTGGGGGGGGAAGCAAGAAGAGTTGGAAATCGTGAGTATTTTGAGTATGTACCATGGGATATGATGCGCACCAAACGCCTGTAAATGTACAAAGCCCAACCAGTTCCCAAGGAGGTATCCACCAGCATCTAGCATCACTTTGTAATAATGTACGTGATGCGATTTCTTAACGCGCACCCGAACGCCATGCCCAAGATCAGCCCGTCATCACAGATAGTGCATCATCTGTTGCGGCGCGCCCGGTCTTTTCTTCTCAATGATGAGCACTGTTTCAATGTACTTCCTATCGAGCGTCTCGCTGTTCTTGCGCGCCGCTAGCAACTGCGCCGTCTTGAGCACATTCTTGATCTGGCGGCCGTTGAGCTTGAGCTCGGCCAGCTCCGAAATGTCCTTTTCGGTAAGCGAGCTCTGGATGGTTGACCCCTTGAGGAAGTTGGCCCAGATGGTGCGCCGCGAGGCCGACGTCAGGTCCGGGTACTCGATGCTGACGTGGATGCGCGACTGGAACGCCGCGTCGATGTCGTCGACGCGGTTGGTCGTCATAAACATGATGCCCTCGTAGTACTCGAGCGTGCGCAGGAAGATGGACACGATCTTGTTGCGCTCGAGCTCGTGCGTGCTGCGCGCCTCGAGGAATACGTCGCACTCGTCCAGCAGCAGGATGGCGTTCCACCGCGCCACCAGCTCCAAGATCGAATTGAGCTCCCGCTCCACCTCCCACGGGTCCGAGCCTAGGTCGCCGGAGCTTAGCGTGTGCAGCGGCACCTTGAGGTTCTCGGCCACCGCCTCGGCCGTCAGGGTCTTGCCCACGCCCGGCGGGCCGGACAAGAGGCAGATGATGCCCTTGCCCTTGCCCTGGATGACGTCGTCGAACTTGCTGCCGGCGATCTGCGACTCGGAGAAGGACATGATGAGCTCCTTCTGGTCTGGCGGCAGGACGAGCCTGTCGAAGGCGGTGCTGTTCCAGACGACCTCGGAGATCTGCTCGGTGAAGAAGTCGAGCCACTTTTTGAATTTGAGCGAGTAGCCGCGTGTCCGGGACCGGCAGAGCATTTGGTAGTACGGCGGCAGGACGAACTTGTCGTCGGCCAACCCCTGCTGCTCCTTATGTTTGCTGAAGCGTTCGATGTCATTGGCGTTGAAGTCGTTCAAGTAACGCACGCGCCAGGGGCTGAAGCGGTTGAAGCTGTCAATGTCGACAATGATGCGACCCGTGATCTGGCACTCGACCTCGTTGCCCTCGCGGTTCCATGTGATAGCCTTGCCCGAATACTGCTTGTAGTGATGCCCGGCGAGCTTCTCAAAGATCTCGCCCCGCTTGACGAGCTTCGCCGCAAGGGCCTCCTTGTCCTCGTGGAAATGGAGCGGATACACCTTAAGACCCGTGATCTTCTTGGTGCCGATAAACTCAGGGATGTTGATGGCCTCCTGATACCTGCCGAACTCTTTTCCGCCGTAATCGACGCAGTCGCAGCGCACCTGCAGGAACTTGCCGCAGTTGTTTTGCATGTACTCGGTCTCGACGCACTCGAAGGCGCTCATCGGACCCATGTGGGCCGAGATGACGACGTTGCCTGGCTGGAAGATCATCCAGAGGTCCTTGAAGCAGACGACGCCGTTCTTGACATAGTCGTGGAATGCCTTGACGGTGTCACCAATCTCGTAGTTTAGAATCTTGTACAGCAGCTTCATGTGCTCCTTGGTCGTCTCGTCGAGGTCCGGCTTCTCAACGTACGTGGTAAACTCGTTCCTGTTGCCATGTCAGCTGCCCGCCTGCATGCCCGGGGACACCCTGGGTGCTGCATACCATCGGTGCACGAACGGCTTGAAGGGCGCCTCAAACTCGAGCCTAGTCAGTTCGCACGCAACTCCGGGATAGTCGGCCATGATCTCGGCCAGGGCAGCCCTGATCTGCGGGCTCTGCACGATGATGCTGTGTGCCTCGAGCTTCTTCCGGCTGTCATTGCTCTTCTGGTTGCGCACCACGACGGCGTATGTGGCTGTCTCCTCGTTCTCGGCGGCCTCCTCGGCGTCTTCTGGATATTTGTCGGTCCATGTCCAGTTCCCATCTTCGTCCGACGCGCCCTTGTAGATGTTCTTGGCCTCGGCAATGGAGCCTACCAGCTTGGGCTTCTCCTTCTCCTTGTCCTTGTCCTCGCTGTCCTTGGCCTCATCGTCGCTGTCTTTCTTCTCGTCCTTCTTGTCGTCGGTCTTCTCCTCGGTCTTATTTTCCTCCTCGTTGTGGTCGGTCTCTGTCTTTGTCTTGGTCTTGGTCTCGGTCTCGGTGTCGATGGTGGATCCAGCCGCGCTGGACCCGCTGTCCGGCTGCTTCCTCGGCTTGGTGGACCCTCCCGCTTCCTTCTTGGAGCGGGAGCGGAACGAGGGCCAACAACGAGGCATCGTCAGTGATTTGGCAGAGGTGATGCTGTAAGTGAGCTGCACCGAAACGGTTGAGAAGGCTGGCATCTATGGCCTTGTGAGGTTGAGAGACACGCTTTTATGGAAGGGCCCCAGAAACCCGATGTTGGTGCTGAATGCAGCCAAGAGCGGCAGCGCTGCAGGCTGGGGCGAGCTGAACGACGCAATCTCCACAACTCGGCTTGTGACTCAATGGCCTCTTGGCTCCGAGGACGGATTGTTCTGAGGAAGTGCAAATCCTCCAAGCAGAAAGCAGTGGCTGCCTCACGCTACTGGCGCAATTCGCATGGTTCCAGGTCTGGTCGATTGCCTGGGCTGTCCTCACTCGGTGGCATCTGGTCCGGCCAGGCAGTCAGGTTGGAGAAATCAACGTCCGAGCTCTTCAGCAAAACCGACGAAAGTCACCGGCGACAGCGGGGCCGGTGGGCTGAGTCGGCTGGTGGCAGGGTCGAGAAGCCGCTAAACAAGCCCTAGACTCAGAGGCGACCCAAGACTGGAGTCCTCCGGGCTGGAACACCGTCAATCCACAGCACTTTCCGTCCTCCCATGCATTTGATATGATGGAGAAACCCGTATTGGAGAGCGGTCGGACTGCGCTGCCTCCACAACAGGTCCAGGCAGCCGTGCCGCAGACGAGTCGACGACCTGCCAGCGGCAAGGGCTTTGCCGTATCGGACCCGGCTCCGTCACACCTTATCCCGCCCATGAAGCCGCCACGTCGCCCGCCAAGTTCAGCCGCCTCTATCTCACCTCAGCACTGCCGGCCTCGCTTTTTAGATGTCGAGGGCTCCAATCTGACGGGAATACGGAGGGACCATATTGTTGGCTGTTGGCATGACCGCCATCAGTATTACTGCAGAAATTTGCTGAGCTACTCTACGCACTCGGTTGTCCTGCTTACCATAGAAAAACTTGACGACTCAAATAGAGGTCTAGCCAGTCCAGCCAGTCTATCCGTACTTATTCTGGTACCATTAGTAGACTGAAGCCAATAGGTTGCGGACAAACTCAGAGCTCAAGCAACGCATGGATATGAACTTCCGCAGAAGCCGGATTTGTATACCTCCTCGCTTAGCTGGGACTAGCCACGGGGTATGCGGTGGATGTTCCCAGTTTATGATGTTTGACTCTTTTTGTGATCCTCGACCCATGTATTTTGTTGACGGGTTAAACCGGCCTACGACATCCAGCTCTAACATTATATCAGAGTGCTGCAAGCACTTCAGCACGCAGCATCAACGCTGTGCGTATTCCAAGTCAATATCCTACTTGTGAAGAGGAGCTCGGACAACGGGTTCCGCAACATACTTAACACTCTGTTTTGGGTCGAACGAACCGTATCTCAAAAGGCGGTCTTCAGCTTAGAATAATCCCCGGCCTTCGCCTGCAGATCTGCAAAGATCCGGCCCGAGTCGTCCTTGCTCAACTCCTTCATCCGCTGCGCATCCTCATCCTCGAGCTTTTCCATCTCCTCAGCGGGCTCCGCCTTCCCTTCTTCCTGATCCTCCTTTTGAAGAGCCAACGCTTTTTCAAACCCAGAGGACTCACCCACCAGGAGGAACTGGGTATTGACGTAGTCAAGGTGCTTTGGCTGGGTCGGCACCCAGCGGAGGGATCGGAATTCCTCAAAGAGCCTGTGATATTGTCAGGTGCCATCGTACATCCAGTACGGACAAGGAAACACTCACTCTTTGGGATACTCCGGGGCCTTTGGCAACCGGGCATTCTGTGGCCCAGGGAACTCCGGGTTCTTGGTGCTGATGACGAAGCTTCCCCTCTCCTTCAGCCCAATCTCCTTCTGCACCTCCCCCAGCTTCTCGGGCAGAGTCAGAATATACACCAAATGACTCGTTCTGCCCGTGCTCGTAATGGCATACACCCCCTCCCCAACGGGCGTCGCCGCAGGCGTGTGCCTTGTGCCGGCAGTTTTGGTCTGATAGTCGCCGGAAGCCAGGAACTCGTCCTTGAGCGTCTGGAACGAGACGTTCGACTTCTCGACAAAGGCGGTAAACCGGTCCCGGCCCGATTGTGGCAGGGTCTTCTTGGGCAGCAAGCAGAGCCGGCTGTTGCGGGCATCGCCGATGGGGCCGCTGCCGAGCTTGGCGTCTTGCTCGATGGGCCGCAGGATGATATGGCTCCGGGCGATGTCGCTCACGTCCGAGGGCGAGTCGACGTTGACGCGGGGCCGGAAGAAGAAGTAGATGATGCCTTTTTCGAGGATACTGGATGGAACTTGTTCGGTGTCATCGCGGCCTTGGGGCTCAACGGCAGAGGTGGCGGTCTCTTTCGGTCTTGCTTCCGTCTTCTCCATTCCGCCGCCGTTCTGCTGCTTCTCCCTTCTTTCCTCCATTGACCCCTTCTCCTGATCTTCCTTCTTTTCCTTCTCCTTACTCTCCTTTGCTCGCTTTAGCCTCTTCTCCTCGCTGCAAACTGGGTCAATATTCGTTTGCGGGACGGAAAATAATGAGAGGGCGATTATCGCCTCACCTGGCAGGTGAACCCTCATCTGTCTTCTTGGTTCGCTTGGGGCTGCGAGGTGCGGGGGATTCTTGCGTCTTGTGCTTTGACCCGGGCTGGGCTTCGGCGGCAGAGAGAGCGCCAGACGGCTGCTCATGTTTCTTCGCTGCTGAACGGGTAGTAGTCGTCATGTTTGCAGTGGCCAGAACAGGACGTTTGGGCAAAGGCGATGGTGCTGTGAAGGTAAAAGGTGAATTGGAAATGAACGGCTCATTATGCACGATTAGTTAATTAGATTGTTGCTGGGTGCAAGGGACCGATGAGATGAGCATGATGTTCCCTTTCAAGGCATCGCAAGTGATGTCATCAACGGTCAACCTGTCTTCTACCATCGCAAATGCGGAACCGCACTACACCCCCCACCTTATTCGTCTCGGATGTACAGTAAAAGGCTGTACAAAGGGTACAAAGCACAATGCCTATTGCCATTCGAACCATTGTAGCGAAATGCCATCCCGCCTTATCTGTGGCCACTCTCCATGGCACCGCAGGATGGGAACTCAACCCCAGGTTAAAGTTCCACGACAGATGTCGTCCGACTGCACCAACAATGCATGTGTTGATTACCTAGAGCAGCTACCCACGCTGGCAAATTACTCGAAGCAAACATTCAAGGGTGAGCGAGCGATGCAGCCTGCCACGTTCGTATTGTTTGCGGCCTCCAAAGCTTTGCAGTCCAAGTTCGGGTTTCAGGAATTCGAACATTGTAAGAACGGGGAAGAAGTGCTCTCGTCCTACCCTACCAACCCTACCTTACTTGGGATTCAATTTCGAAGTATGGTGGAATCAGGGCAGGTGTTCTTCAAGACTTGGGCGTCAGGGTCTCTGCTCCTCTTTCATCATCTTCCGATTCTGCAGTGCTGCTACTACCGTACCTACCTTACTTGAAATTCAGATCGGTCCCTGCGCGCATGAAATAATCCACACAGCCTCCGGAATCTAAAAACCAATCACCAAAAGCAAATACTCTAGTAATCAAACATGCTCTCGCCTGATCTTGTCTTCAAACCCACGGTAATGCTCCTCCTGAACGCCCAAAGCCTGCATCAGCTCCCGAAACTCTCCTGCCCGCCGCATAGCCGGCGTCTCACTCATGGAAGGCTGCTTTTCGTCGGACCTGTGCAGCAATACGTCGAGAGCGGCAGAGAAACGACCATCAGACCGCACAACAGCAGCCTCGGCTATGATGCCGCAGATGGCCAGCCATCCCAGGATCAAGCGGGTATCGACCGAACCGTCCATCATTCGGAACTCCATGGTCCGGGGATTTCGCCTGGCTCGCTCATCCTCTTCACCGAACGCGCTAAAGTTGAAGCCTAGCCTCCGGTACCTCCTCTCCGGACCCGAGAGCAGTCGACCGAGCTGGAGGTGAGACGATGTCTTCCATACTTCAAGAAAAGCGCTGGTGACATCGGCTGAGGAATCTGTCGCATGTCTCCGAAGCGCTTCGACGACCTGTTGGTCCGAAATGGCCTCGACATCGCTGGGTGCTGTCGTCAAGTCTCCCATGCGCTTTGCGAGCCGGCTGCGCTCCTGCAACGCGAAACCCCAGGTGTACGTGTTGTCGAAGTTCGGCGATCTGGGGTCCCTGATGCTCCGCAATGTCGGCTCCGCCACCCACAGGAGCGTCCCAAGTCGTTTCAGCGTCGATAATGACCAAGGTCGGCCATCCATTCGCCCCAGGTGAATGTGAACCTCGCAAGTACAGTTGGCAACAAGCCGGTGCCTCGCGGTCAACCCGCCTAGAACCCTCAGCATCCGTTCTCGAGTTTCCGCGTCCCTGAGCCGCATCTTCGGCGAGCAGACCTCGACCGGGACCCAGAGATAACCCTCAAGAGACTTCTCCTCGCTCAGCGGCTCCGCCGAATTCGCCTTCTTGACCACCCAGCCGGAGCCCCAGAAGTCCTTCTCCTCGACCCCTTGGTTGACGAGGGAATGCAGGGTGACCGCCTGCTCACCGGTGTCCCTGATTGTTTGAGCTATGCACTCGTGGCCCTGCTCCAGCCATGCCCTCTGGCTGTCACGGCACCGTGCCGTAGCAACAGGCCGCCTGTCGTCTGGTTGTGGGTCCTCGGCCCCTGGCGCAAGTAAAGGAAGCAGCAACTTCCACTCGAGTGCTACCGATATGTCGTCGACGCGGTCAACCAGCGCCGCCTCGCCGGCCTTCGTCACCTCCACGGCGTCTTCGGCTGCATGATGGGGGTTGGCGGGACTGTTTTGGGCATCCTGCGTGCTTTGTTGATCATCGTCGAGAATAAACGGCGCCATCCTCTGAGACAGATCCCCACTCAGCCTCTCACGGAGGAGCTGCGGGAAGGCACATAGCTTGTCCAACCTGAGCCCGAGAAGAAAAAGAATGCAGGAGGGGAGATTGAATAAGGACTGGCGCATCGAGACCCCGGCCCCTGGTTGTGCCATCGGCCGTCGTCGATCCCCGCAAGGCGTTGTCAATTGTTGGAAAAGTCCGGGGCCATCCTCGTGGTGGCCATGCGCGCAAGGTAAAAGGTCCAAGCCGGCTCGTTCGGAGACCTGACAGGGAGCCAACTGGCCCATGTTCCCCAGCGCGCTGGGTTCTGGGGGATGCGGGCACAGGCTCCAGCCTTGAGGGCTCGAAGTCATTCCATGCACGCACGCTGACGACCGATGCGCGGTTGGCTCGTGGCGTTCCATGAGCCCCATATTCCTGACTGCTTCGGGCAGCAAATTCTGCACGAGGTACCGCCATTGCATGGATACTTGCAGGCCCCCATGCATGGCTAGCACATCACTAGACAGATTGCCATCTCGTTCGCTGGCTGCAAGATGCCGCCAACAGCTTGTCCATTGCGGCACGGACACGCCCAACTGCGCCCGCCCAGGCCTTCGCCCAGGCCCCAGACGAATTCTTCCGGCATTCCCAGACATCTCGGTTCTGCTCACCGCACGTCTGCAGCCTGTGCTCGCCAATCTTGCGTGATCATCGCGGCTTATCTCCGGGGGACAAAAATCAAGTCGCGCTTATTACTGTGGTACTCGAGTACCGCCCCATGACCGTCTGTCAGCACCGAAACCATGGGTGACAGAGCGGTCAGTCCCAGGCTCGACCAACCCGAGCACCGCGCCCGCGCCGCCCCATGTCCGCCCCCACACAACCGGATTAGGGCCCTGTCTTACAGTCAGTAAAATCACTCCGAGATTTGCCGGGGTTTGCGAGAGCGTGTCAGAGATCAGTCTCATCATTGATCTTACTCATGAAAAGAATGGCGGAGCATGTTGTCAGACCACCAAATTGATTTAACCAGGGACGTTACACCACAAGACACTGATCAACACCGCGCAACTTGAAAGTGGAGAGCCGTCATATCTGATCTGGCTGGTAAGCGCGGATGCAGGCTTACCAGGGTTCTGTACTCTGTGCTACCAACACGATTAGACAGACTGACAGATACAGCCAATGAGGCTCATCAAATCTAGGCATGCGCCGAGGAACATGATGGCATCTCTGCATTTGGGACCAAGACAGAAAGCGAGAGAGGGCTAGTTAAGACTGAGTGAGGTTGAGAGTGCTTATAATCATGGATGTCGGGGAGGATAACTAAAAGAAAAGAAATGAAGCTCTGGCCTGGTTGATCCTGGATGAACATTAGGCATCGCAACCACCCGACCGCTGGGTTCTGATGTTAATCTCTGCAATGAATTATGCGGGTCACGAGACTGACCTTCTGCAGTGGCCGTTGAAGGCAACAGTCGGGGCGAGATGTTCGTCCAAAGCCGAACTGATGAGGGCTTTCGGGGTTAGCGGTTTACCCCTGACCATGAGCCCTGGACTTGCCCATCCGGCTCACACACGAAGGGCTAACAGTTTTGTGACATGCAGTCATCGTTGGCACTACTTCCAGCCAAGCCTGGATGATGGCGAATGAGGTAGGGAGAAGGATACTTTCACACTGCCGCCTGAAGGAAAGCATCACGGAAGTGAGAGAAGTAAAGACAGCAAGGTGCCGGGCCAAAGCCTGTCATTACAATCATCCAAACTGGAAATGGCCCATCCTTTCACAAGCCGTCAGAAAACTAACGATATAAAAACCAAAACTGCGCTCGGCCCGAGATGTCAAGGTGCTCCCCTGAAAGCCAGATATACACAGAGCAACAAGGAATGCGGGCTTGACAAAACACATCAGTGGTACATGATGCAACAAGAAACCCGCGTAACCGGAACCCAGAAAAGGAAGCATCATGCAAGGCAAAGAAAACGATTTTAAGACACCCGCTTCCCGCCACAATCCGGGATCTTGACCCCATCCTTCAGCTTCCGATCGACCGTCATCAATCCCCAGTGATCCTCCCACTCCTTGCCGTCGGTATTGAACATGATCTTCCACGGCTCATCAAACGCTTCGAACCAAAAATACTCTGTCCCATCGTCCAGCGCGCGACAGACCCAATCCTCCATGAAGGTGTTCAGCTCGTCTATCCCCGCGACCGCGCGGTCCGGGCAGTTCGTCTCCAGTTCGGTGCCGCATGCCATGCCGCCCTGCGACGGCCACCCGGTCTCGGCGATGACGTTCATGGCATTGTCGCGCTTGAGAAAGCTGCTCGTCTTGTTGCCCCAAAAGTACTTGGTCCAGTCAGCCGCCTCGGAGGCCTTGGCGCCGGCGAAGAAGGGGTGGATGTTGGCCATGATGGCGTCGCTCTGGCTGGCGAGGGTCGCGTCCCACTTGTCGCCGAGGTCGCTCGTCGCGACGGGCAGCTTCAGCCCGCGCGCGGTGAGGTTGGCGCGGACTTCCTCCAGGAGGCTGCCGAGCGTCGTGATGGTCATTTGCTGCCGGAAGAGAATCTCGTTGGCCACAATGATGCCCTTGAAGTAGCTCTCGTCGTACTGGTCGAGAATGTCCCACATCTGGGACAGCTGGCGTGCGTTGGTAGTTGCGTTGGCGTCCTGCCACACGCCGAGCCAGATCTTGACTTTGTCCTTGAGCTTGAGCTGGTCGACGGCGTGGATGAGCATCTGCGTCTGGTTGCAGTCGGTGCCGTAGAGACGGACAACGTTGGTAAGTTGGGAGAGAACGGCCAGGTCGCGGGTGATGTTGTTTTGGGAGGGCGGGTTGTGCATGCAATCGGGGTATTGCGTGTTGAGCGGGGTGTAGTCCATGCCGGGGAAAACCTTGCGGAGGTCCGGGTTGTTCATGAGAGCCTGTATTTCAGACGAGTCGGAGTTAAGGTCGCCGTGGGCAGACCTGTCCCCGGCGGCTGTCGAAGTGTCGCCCGAGCCGCTGTTGGCGCTGCTGCTGCCGCCCCCGTTACTCCTGAAGACGGCGCCGAATAGGACACCGAGGACGATGGCAGCAAGAATAACGATCACGACGATAGCGATAATCGCAATCTTCCACTTCTTCCCACTGCTCCTGCCCTTAGATAAGGCAGCGGCTTCCCAGGCCTTCTCCCCGGCGGCGCCAGCAGGCACCGCGTTAAAAACGGCTCCCCCTGAGCCCAGGCCGGAGCCCCCTGAAGCCCCGTCACTGCTGAGGCCGGTATGGACAGGCGCGTACTGATTGTTAACACTCCCACTGCCGTTCCTCCCAACGAGCCCCCCGAGCACGCCGCCCGCTGCCGCGCCGCCCGCTGCAGCTGCGCCGTGGCTCCGATTAGACCCAAGGCTGAGCATGCTAGTCCTTGGCCCTTTACGTCCGTACTCAAGCCCGTCGTCACCGTCGTCTGCTATGTCGAGGGGGTTTACAACGCCGAGGTTCGAGTCGACGTGGCGCGAGAGGTTCTGGTATGGGTCGTCCGTGTAGACCTCGCCGCCTATCCTAGAGGGTGTGCGCTGCCCTGGTGTCGCGTACCCTGAGCCGACGGCTGCGGCGCTCAGGCCTTGCAAGCTCGAATGCGAGTTTCTATTCCCTGCGTGGTAGTCTGGCGACAGCATGCCCTTGTCTGCGTAGACTTGTCCTTGCTGGTACGGTTGTTGGTTGTGGATGGCGTTGAGACCGCTCTCTCTTGCGTTCTGCTCAGCGATAGTCAGGGCAATTCCAGCCATGCCTCCGGCGGCGGCGTTGCTGAAGTTGTCTGCGCCTGGAGTGACGGTGCTCTGGGGAGAGGGACGTTGGCTTTGTGGTGGATACGAGGTCCCCTGACCCCAAGACCGTCGGTCGGTCGGGCGTTGTGGAAATGATCGGAGTGGGGATGCCGAGTCGCCGTGACCGTTCGCTGTCGCCGCAGCGTATGGACCGGCGCCTAGTCCACCGTTTGGGGGTTCTTGGTTGTAGCGTCTCTGTGATCGGAGCCGCGAGAAGGACGGGTCTGGGTGGCCTCGCGGAGCGTACTGGGAGGGCGTGGCGTCGTATGTGTCTTGTTGATGATGATATGGTTGCTGGTATTGGCGATGCTGAAGAGGATCTGGGACCGAGCCGTCAAGAGGTTGACGTTCGGCCAGCTCATCTGCTGGGAAATATCCTGCCTGCGCCATGGTCAAGATTGAGAGGCTGGGCGCAGTTCAGCCCGCAACCCGAGCGTCGCCGGAGTGTCTCGACAGGCTGGGGCAAACCGCACTCCGTTCGGGGCGGCCAGTTTGGAGCAAAGAATTGAAATGGAGCGAAATTGGCGGGCCAATTGAGCAAAGCCGGGTCCTACCGCGAGCGCCGTGGCTTGGTTGGTTTCCTGTCGAGAATGAGGTACTCAGCAAAATCGTTTTGGATTCGTATTTTGGGCTGCGCCCCCCTGTTGTTGCCTTGGAACCTCGCGTGGTTGGATCGTTGCAGAATCTCAGATCCTTCGCTGCCATCGGAGTCGGACAAGGCCGCTGTGTGCTGCCCTGCAGCGCGCGCCGAAATACTGAGCGAATGTAGCTGCGACGCAAACGGGTGCCCGCATACGTCGCAAATATGTACGTGCGGAGTGCACAGCAGAACCGAGAAGGTTGCCGTCGCAGGAGAAACGAACGCAGGGCTCTGCCAAGGAGCGGGCTGCGCACCAAGTTGGCATCTGGACTGCCTTGGTGGGCAAGCCTCTCCTGCAACAGCCCGGTTGCAACTTTGGCAAAGGGGCAGGTCGGCGCTAGATGACCAAGCGGCAGAACAGTGACGGTGCTGTTGCAACCTGAAAGTGGGACGGGTTCTCTTACTTCCGAGTTCAGATTGGCTGAAATCTCTTTGACGGGGCAGCACAATTGCGGCTACCGTGACGCTGCCCCACAGACCTCATGCCCGAGCCAGGACCCGGCTCAACTGGAACACCTGTGACAGCAAGGTAGGTAGGTTAAGTTCAAATACACTGCAAGCTTCCAAGGGACACGATTTCGCTCTTGCGAAAGCCAATTTCGTGCAATTTCAAGATCAACAGCCCAAGCGGATAAAATGGTAACGGCATTTTCTGCTGCATTTCACTCGTTCCCGTCGATCGACTTGGTTAGTTATAGGCAGTCAAGATTGGAACGATACGGATACCCCGCCGGCCGAAGCCTCCGACATCCGTGTTGCGTCATAGCAATCGGGCAACGGTGACGGGAATCTCAGTGCCGACGATATCTTCGGCTCGGCCGGGTCACCGATAGGGGAAGCAATGCGTCTTGTATGTCTGGCTTCGAACCTGGGAGTTATGTCCTCCATTCCTGTCCGCGCTTTATACCATTTGAACACTGAGTCCTTGGTGCGTGGGCTAGATCATTACCGTTTACAAAGTTGAATTAAGAAGCTTACCTCGCACTCCATCTCCATCTCCACGAAAGAAGCAGCCTTCCAATGTGCAGATCATCAAGATGACGCAACCAAGTGAGATGGAATTTAGGTTGACATCATAGACAGTGTTCCCATCAGACACGTATACAAATGCCGAAGACAGTCTTTAAAACCATTTCTCTCTGTTAATACGACAATTCAGGTTACCTACAGGCAGATTATTTAAAGACTGCAGCGATAAAAGCTATCAAATCAACACGCTCACAAACTCTTTCACCATGAGCGCCAACCCCGAGTCCGTTGCGAACCAAGGCCGTACGTGCAAACCCACACCTGATAATGTCCTTTCCGGTTGTCTCGGGAGCATCGTGCTCCTGACGCCACACAGCGTCCGCTCTCAACTGGAATGCAGTGTTTAACCGTCCTCGTCTAGAATTCCACTCAAGCGTGCCTCCGGCACACCCCCTGACGACCTCTGGCGTAAGCCGAACCCACTCCACCCCAACCTCCTCCGTCTATGGGACTAACAACCGCACGCAGCATCAACTCGGCCAGCAAGTCGGCAACGAAGCGGCCCCCGAGTTCCGCGCCAAGACATTCCCGCCGGGCACGGCACCCAAGGAGCACTCGCACCAGCCCAACCCGATCCACGAAGTCCCGGGCCAGTCCATGAACGAGCTCGCCGACGAATCCGGCCGCACCGAGGCGCTCGACATGCCGGGCGCAACCAGCGGCGAGATTCACAACTCGGGGACCTATGGCAAGCCCATGCAGGGTCAGACGAGCCGCGAGCAGCGCGGCGCGCACGCCGGCTCCAACAAGAAGGAGCGCAGCGGGTTGGAAGGGGTTGGGAACACGGCCACCACGTCGGATGAGACGGTCGAGGGCCGGGCGCGGGTGCTTGGTGCGGACCTGCCGGAGGGTGTTGAACGCGGCATCCGAGGCAAAGGCCCCGGGGCGGAGGAGACGAATCCTGCCTCTGCCGCGGAGGTGGCGTCTGAGAAAAGACGGTCGTGAGGAGGGGGATGAGTGGTAAGGGTGGAGCGTGTATGATATTTGGCCATTACAATAAGATATACGGATTAGTTAACATATTTTATTCAGGAGCAAAGAGAAAGAAGAATGGAAGCGTGTCGATGTGGGCTGAAACAGTGCCAAAAACATTGCGTCAGCCGCGAATCGAACGCGGGGCCCATCGATGGCAACGATGGATTTTACCACTAAACCACTGACGCTGTAAGTACGCTGATTTGTGATGACAAACCATAGACCTTTAAAACATATCAATGAACGTGACGAGAAGTTGCACGGTCGTCCTCATTCCAACTCAAACGAAGCCCGTCATGAGGTGGCTGAGTAAGGTAGATTATATCTACTCTGTGTGTACGACGTAGTGTAAAAAATGTGATGCGGATACAGAATGGTTTTCGAAATCAAGCTTTTCTCCGTGGGCCCCTCACGCCCAGGCGCTCGTTCTCGAAAAGCCAGCGATTCAGACTGCGCCTGATCAGCCGCTCAGAATGCGGCTGAAAAGAAGCGAGATTGGTCTGATAGCGCTATCGATCGCTATTCCTGTTTGGACTTAACGCGATGCTTGATTCGCCAAGAAAAGGCACCCCGCCGCCGAGATGGCGCATGGGCCGAAGTCAGGTTGCGGCTCTGCGATGACGCCCGAACAAACCGGCGAAAAAGTTCCCAAGTTCGGATACGATAAGCCTACGGAACCTAGACAGCGGTAGCCTCAGTTTCGGGATGCCCAACGTGGTAAAACTGTCATATTGCTCCGCCTCTGTTTTTAATATGCAAAGACCAGAGCTGAAGTGTGGGAAAGGAGTACTTCCCATGTAGACCTTACTCTAATGTTTTCCTCCGAAATCTTGCACCATTTCTGACAAGCTTCATCAACTGCACTGATAAACTAAAAATGCACGGTAGACTCGCCATTTCCGCTGCTCTGGTGGGCCTTTTGGCCCAGGTCTCGGTGCGTATTCAACAAGTCTCATACTGCGGTTGCCAAGAGCCTCGCCAGCTGGAATCAACGGCCCGCTAATGACTGAGGAACAGGCGACGACCTGCACATCTGCAAACGCGACGCCAATTGAGCAGTACATCGGCTCAGGGAGCGGCGGCGGCGGCGGCGGCGGCAATGGCGGCTTCGTAATCTCACAGGACCCTTTCGCTTGGGTCAGCAGTAAGTTCATGTCCGATCGCACTTGTTACCTCTTTCTCTAGCTGCCGTGGGACATGTGTTTGCTCTCGAAACAGCCATCTTAACCTTCCGCATTTACCCTCGACCACCCTGAATGGAACTTGAATGAACATGAGACTGACATGGTTGTCCAGACGCCGTCAAGAAGCGGACCACTCCCGACGCCCGGCTCGCCAACGTCGCCAACATCCTCCTCCCACGCGCCACAGACTCGGTCGACTGCTCGGCCACCGAGGCGTGCCTCTCGATCTCGAGCACGCCCTTTTGCCTCGACATAATCAGCGGCGATTTCCACGACGGCGTGGGCACTACAGGCAACGCCCTGTCCGGCGACTACACCCTCGCCGACGGGCGAAAGGGCAATCTGTACAAGGGGCCCTATCCCCAGGTCACGGTCGGCGCTGCCAATGCCGCGACGACGGTGGCGAGCAGCGCTAGCCATGCCAGCGAGACGGCGGGCGGTACCAGCGGTGCCAGCGAGACGGCGTCGGCTGGGGGTGGGGCTGGTGCGACTAGGAGCGGGTCTGGCGTGTCCACACCAACCGCGACCGGGGTGGCACCGGCGGCAACGACGTCCAAGAGTGCTGCCGTCCATGGAAAGGTTGCAGCTATAGGGATGGGAGGTGCCATGTTGCTGGTCGGGGCTGTCTTGCTCTGAGACAGCAACGACATCCATCTGTTACCTGCCCGATTGCAGAACCCTTTTCTGTACAACTAGGTTTGCTTGACTAATCAGCAATCTCCTTCAATGCTGTCATTGTTCACTCCGCCGTACAGATCACACTCCCATCAAGAAACTTGAACCTGTATCTCGGTTGCTCGCCGTCCTCGGCATGACTTCAGTTGGTCTTCGGTGTCACTGGGGATGCACAGGAGCGTTCAGGGGGGTTGGTGCTTACGTTGATGGGAGGGCGGCGAGTGTACGCGATGCAGGATCGGTTGTCTTCTCAACCGTCTTATCCCGCTCTCATGCTAACAGCTTGCTCTGTCTCTCCAAAAACAGGACCTTGGGCCGGTCGTCCTCGAAGGTCAGACGCTTATCCGCCATGGTAATCTCCACGTCCAGGGGGCCTTCCCGCAGACTCCATTTCCTCGCTTCATGCTCGACCATGCTGTCATCCGGTGGCGAAGTAGCCACCTGCTCGTACCACAGGTGTATGTCGTACGCCCGCTTCAGTTTTTGGATCATTATGGCTTCGATAGCACACCAGGCGCGTGTATAATAGAGGTCGTCGACGAGGCTAATCAGGGCGTTGCACTGTGCGAGGATCATCGGTAGGGCATTGACACCGGGCATTGGATCGTCCTGGTTCACGCAGGTGTGATCCTAGGAGTAAAGTCAGTATTGGTACGGCGGTTGAGTCCTCTGAATAGCTCGAGGAAGGCCAGATTGAGCACCTACCACCCAAATGCCTAATGTTTCCGGATCTACAGTAGGATGTAATTTGAGAAACTCCTCGACTGCCGACTTCATGCGCCGGTACTGTGTCTTGTTCGCATCGTCGGGCGAAGTTGCCGCTCTGTCCTTGTTAATCCAGCGGTAAGAAAAGAAAATGACAAAATCAGCCTCGGTGCCAACGGAGCTTGTTGTTAGATGATTTGTCTTGATCTCGCTTGATCGTAGAAGCTCTCCATGGCGAGCAAAGTCAGGCCACCGCATAAATTTGAGCCGATCAAAAATGCGGCCGCTCTCCGGCTCTGCAGAGAGCGTTTCGGCATACACGCGCCGAAGCTTCGGCAAGGCGTCTGCGCCCCGGTGCCGGAGGAGAATGGGCCGCATTTTCTCTTGGAACAGCTCGCGGTACCTTCTCCGGAGCCGCGCATCTGCGTGGCGTTGTCTGAGCTTGTCTTCAATGTCAGGGTCCGCGCTGTGTTTACGACGGAGGCCCTCCAGCACAAGCGCCTCGGACGCTGTGTCACCGCTGAACGCGGCGTAGTCTAACGCGGTGTATCCTTGTTCGTCAAGGAGGTCCATGTCGGCGCCGGCGTTGACTAGATCCTCAAGGTACTGGCGATGCTCGTCCGATGGCTCCTTACACATGGCCATTGCGGGGGTGCAGGACGGCCCAGGTGGGTTGAAGTGTTTGAGGGCTTCCTCGCATTGCCCGTCCAGAAGTAACGCTCGGCCGTAGAAGAATCTCGAGAAGGCGATGAGTGTCGAGTCTTTTTGAGTGGCCTCCATGTCAACTGAAAGGTTCAGGGACGCAAGTGCCGAGGCGACGGCCTCTCTTGTTTTGCCTTGGGCGGCATGACACAAAGACAGACGAGCGTGGCCGACGATCTCCTGAGTCGCGGCAAAGGCCAGTCTTCCAGTGTCGGTCTTCGTGTCTATCCCATTACGACTAGAAGTCTCTCTGATCTGTCGAGCCCTCTCGATCCGCTCCTTCAACTGCTTAGTAGCCAACTGTAATGTGCGCTGTGACAAATGGAAATTGACCATACCCAGGTTCCCAATAGCCCTACACATTGCCTCCTCCGACCCAAGCTCCTTCGCTGTGTGGTACTGCATCTCGAACGCGCGTTTTGCTTCGTCGAGGAGATTCATATGGCGGTACACGACGCCCAGCTCGCCACACATCTCAATCTGCTGCAAGCTCGGCTCTGTTTCAGCAATGACTGCCTCCAGAATATCTCTCGCTTTCTGATACCTCCCAAGCCGCCGGTTCAAGTTCCCAAGCTCGCTGAGAACAAGGCGCCTGTAGTAGGCCGGGTTCGGAAACTCTTCGCTCGACTCGCACAAACTGAGCGCGTCATTGAAGGCAACCAAAGCGAACTCCAACTCGGACGTCTTGGCGGAGTGCCGTCCTTTCTGAACGAGGAGCTCCCACCTGCGAAGTAGCTGGACCCGTTCGACAAGCATTTTGGCCGTAATACCCGCAGGGTCACGAAACTGCTTAAAAGACTGGGCGTCCGGCGGGCCCAGCACGGGGGCACGCCGTGTAAAACCGCGGTGGGAATCGAAGAAAAACAAGGTGGCATGCATGGTCTCAGGTGCCACTTTTGTTGTATGGAACGCGCCGGCGGGAACGGTGTAGGTCATGTCACGAGAGTGAGCTTGTGATGAGGTGAGCGTTGCGCGCACACGTGTTCCGGTGTTTTGCACGATCGAGTAAGTCTGATGTGTCTTGTAGGCCGCATCTCGGCCCTTTCCATCGCTCCAGGCAATCTCGTACGTGGCATGGGTGCTGCATGCGGCATTTTCGCTTTCATCAACCTGGTATGAGTGGTCGATTCCTTCGCCAGCCAGGATCCAGCTCTGACCGAGAGGCTGGTGCGAATGGATGGCAAAGCTGTCGTTTCCGCGATGGCCGTCCGGCAACCAGACATGCAGACGGAATAGTTCGTCGATGTTCCCGTCCTTTAAAAGGCTGCAGAGAGGCACGGCAAGAAAACCCTGGGCGCTGCGAAACGGCGCGCAAAGTGGCCGCGAGAGATGGCGGCTACCCAGTGCCGTGTAGATCAGATCCCAGACGAGGTCAAGGTTGCGTGCGCTTACACACAGCGACTGGCGGCAACTTCCACGCAGAAAGGCAACAGCAAGCGTGAGGTTCATGACCTCTCGGGGCCCTCCGAACGACAAATTGACGTCAAAAGCGGAGCGCCAGCCGTGAAGCGGACGAGTGATGGCCTCCTGGTTGTCCCTGTGAAACTGCGAGAGCCACTTAGCAACGGGCTTCAGATATTCCTCCGGCGCTCGCGATGCTGCTGCTACACCTTCAAGAACTTGTTCGAGAGAGCAAAGCGAAATGGAGCAATGCGCGTCGCCCATAATTATCACGGCTCTCGCAGCGGAAACCTTGCTGCTGAGGGGTAGGTCGTGACTCGGGGGCCGTGATCCAGTGGTATGCTTAGGTAGCTAAGGTACGGATTCGGTTCAATTGTTCCGAGTTCAAGAGAAGTAAATCTTTTGTCCAACTCACAACTCTTTCCAAATACACAGAATATACAGGGAAACACTCTGGCGGTTGAATCGAGACAATTGCAAGGGCCCAGTGGTACAGTGGGGTCCAAAAGTCTGGATCCAAGCTGCCCCGCACCCCAACCCCCTCCATTTACCTCAGCACTTACAAAGGATATCGCAGGAACTACAAATCTGACGAGGAATCTAATTGTATTTGCTAGAAGCCTAGGTTTTGAGCTTCAATACCGTGCATACCACCACGAGCCTTTTTGACAGCAGCTAGCCTTCTTGGCATACTGTCAATCAGGCCCTCAAGATAGGCCTGCGGTACAGCGCTCCATGCCTCCTTCAAGCACGCAGTGAATTTTCGATATCGAGTTGGTTTTGCATTAGACAAGAACAACAAGCCAAGTCCGGATCGGCGGCAAGAAAGGCTGTAAGGCCTTCCTGGCGACCTAGACTGGCCCCCGGAAGCTATCTAGAATGCCTTCAACAAGCTCTTAGACGGAGCACTCATCAGAGCCGTGACCATTGCCGCACTATACTACCAGAACCTGGGTGTCGATGCGGTTGTACGCAATTCCTACACTGACCCTTACTTCCAGTAAGTCTCGCCCAGCAGACGGGATCGGTGTTCAGTCACCGCGTATTAACCAGGACAGTGAGAACGACCCAACGTCTACCTTTTGCCGACAGTACCAAGGCAGGACCTGCATGCTAACCGAGGACCCCATTAGCGGTAACTGCACTTTGGGAGGCTATCCTGTCTACTCCATGAATGTCAGCAACGTTGGCCAGATCTAGCTAGCCGTCAACTTGCCTACAATGCCGACCTACAGCTTGTTATCAAGAATACTTGACACTGCTATTTGGGCAAGAGCAGCGGCGCCGGGGCTCTGAGTATCTAGACGCACAATCCTAAGGACATCAGGTATTACCCGGATCTAACAATACCGGGATATTCCAGGCCAGCGATGAAGGTTGCGAGGCTCACCGGAACGACATAAGCGCGCCTGGGTGGAATTTACAAGGTCAGTGACCACCATCAGAATGACCACCATAAGAAACCCACCCCTTACACATCTTAACAAGCCATAGAGCGTCGAATATACAGGCGGATACGTCGCTAGGGGTAGGCATACGCCGCTCTCAGGCTTCTACGGCATAGCCGTGGACCACCCATAGCGCTCGAGGTCGTGACAGTCGACGGCCGCTTCATTACCGTCTTTCCCGAGTCGAACACCGACCTCTACTAGGCGATGCTCGGCGGCGGTGGCAGCACCTTTGGCGTCGTCACGTCCATCATCATCCATGTCGACCCAAAGCTCCCAGTCGTCACCTCCGCCTTCACCATCAGCACCTCCACCACCATCACCGCCATGGCCTTCTAGGAGGCTATGCGCACCTACTTCTCCCTCTTCATCCCCTTCACCGACGCCGGCACCTACTCCTGGTAGAGGCTTTCCCCCACGAGCCCCAACTCCTACTCCTTCACCATACACCCCTTTTTCGCCCCCAACCACACCCTCTACTCCTTCCATGCCCGCACCAAACCCTTTTTCAACCGCCTGAAGCAACTCAACATTCCCGTGACCCCCAACACCACCCTCCACCCAGCCTTCTACCCAGCCTACAACGCCAACTGGGGCAGCGACCGTGTACTCAACAGCGCCGGCCGCGTCAGCGTCCCCAGCAACCAACTACTCCCGCGCGCCAACTGGGCTGACCTAACCAAGTTCAACGCGACCTTCGCCGTCATCCGTGAATATGTCGAACCGGGTCGCCTGCTGATGGGGTATCACCAAGCCTCCCGCAACCGGGTCAACGCCGACAACGCGGTTGGTCCCGCGTGGCGTGAGGCAGTCTGTTCCTTGATTCTTATAGGGAGGTCGCCCTAAGGGGGCAGTCATGGAGAACCCAACTGCGGCGGATCTGAGGGCAGCGTTGGGGGATTTGCAGCGGAACGTGAATACGCGGTTTAGGGAGGTGGCGCCGGAGAGGGAGGGGGGTGGGGCGTATTCAAAAGAAACAAATAGAGACGAGCCGGAGTGGCAGAGCACGTTGTATAGGGTCGAGAATTATAAGAGGTTGTTGGAGATTCAGAGAAATGGGGATCTAAGGGAGGTGTTTTATGCCACGACGGCGGTCGGGAGCGAGGGGTGGGAGGTAAGGGATGGCGAGCATGGGGTGCAGACGCAGAATGGGCGGCTATGTCGGGTTTAACGGACAGAGGCAGTCTAATAAGCAACACGTCGGGGGGTGAATATATGTGAGCCTAGCTATCACTGCAGGTTTTGTCACTTTGGCACAAGGCTAGGTGGTCATCAAGAACACGGTCTATCAATCAACTATTGCAGTGTGGACAAACCACCAGAACTGAACCCCTGAGCACCTCACATTCCACTACGAGATACATCCCTCGTCAAGCAATGACTCACTTTCTCACATGACGCCGATGCAAACATAGGTGAATGCCTGGATCGAAATGCACGCTTCCTCGATGTTGTTCCACCTCTTGACAGACGCGCCTCCTCCAGGAACGTTGTTCCAAAAAGCAATGCCATTGCAGTGTCGCCCCTATTCACCCAGACGAACTTGTTGCAGTTGCCGACCATGCCGGGGTGCGGAGGTGTAGGCGTCGCGATCCCGTTGCCAGGCGGCCGCGTCGTGGTCGGCGTCGGCGTGCCCCCAGTGACGCCGATGCAGACGTAGGTGTGCGCCTGGAGCGATGTGCACGCCTCCTCGATGTTGTTCACAGCTTGACGTACTGGCCGCCGGCGACGCCGCTCCAGAAAGCAATTCCGTCGCATGTGTCGCCGGGATTCACGTAGACGAACTTGTTGCAGTTGCTGACCATGCCCGGGTGTGCCGGAGTGGGCGTCGTGATCCCGTTGCCGGACCGGGTCCTGGTCGGTGTCGGCGTGCCTCCAATGACGCCGATGCAGACGTAGGTGTGCGCCTGGATTGAGCGGCAGTCCTCCTCGATGCCGTTCCACAGCTTGACCCACTGGCCGCCGCCGACATTGTTCTAGAAGGAAATGCCGTCGCAGGTGTCGCCCGGGTTGACGTAGACGAACTTGTTGCAGTTGCTGACCATGCCCGGGTGTGCCGGAGTGGGCGTCGTGATCCCATTGCCTGGCTTCGTTGTCGTTGGTGTTGGGTTAACCCCAACGACGCCAACGCAAGCATACTAGCACGAGAGATCAGCTTTCGAAACACACACTTGAGTTCACAGGGACGAGGGAGGACAAGGAGAAAGATGGCTTAGGAAAGGGAGAGAGGAGAGAGGAAGGAAGTGAGGAGAGGAAAGGGAGGGAGGAGAGAGGAAGGAAGTGAGGAGAGGAAAGGAGGAAGGATAGAGCACGTACTGTTGAGGCCCAGAGGCCGGTGCAGTCCGACTGGGCTGCGGGATTCTACTGGATGAACTGAGCCACCGAGATGGAATACAGGGTCGCAATAGTCGCGCATGTGTGACCCTGTTGGACGAAATGGAACCGGTTACGGTTGGCAACCATGCCGTCTTGCACTGGGCTCGGGGTCGCGGTGTTGCTGGGAGTCGACGTGGAAGTTCTAGTGATGGTCGAGGACTGAGTTAAAGTTGAAGACACGGAAGTTGTTAAATATCTAGTGGAGGTTGAAGACCGGGAGGTAACTGAGGGAGACTGGGCGGTGCTGGACGTGGTAGACGCCGTGCGAGAGGTGATGGTGGTGGTGCTGGACGGGTCAGGAGTGACAGTGCCCATCACGCAGTATGGCTTATTGACTTCGAGGTCCGGGCAGGTAAAGCCGGGGTTCAACTTCTCGAAGCCGTCGACGGTCAGCCCCCAGGCCCGAGCGATTGTCTCGCAAGTGACGCCGCTCCCGGCCGTCTCGTAACAGAGGCAGTCAACACCGCGGCGCAAGAGGACCCGGGCAGCAACCATTCCCTTGGCTTGGGATTAGAAGAATTACGGACGAGGAGACTCGGCAGGGTGATGAAGGCAACGCTAAGGTGATATGAAGGTCGGAGATTCCAAGCCGAATCTTATACTCGCTCACCAATCTACTCGATGATGCCTTGCTTGATGCCCTGGTCGTCCTAACGGCAACTCGCCCGTGCCAGTTACCTGTACTGCGATGTGGGCCCTTGACCGGCGCGTCTCAGGCTTCCAACGCGAGGGCGAAGCCTCACCCGAGCCAAGGCCTAAATAAAGCCAAGACGGTCGAGACGGTGGAACGGCGGTGTGTCCTTGGGTGTTGCCGTGCTCAATGTCAGGCACGACTCCGCAGACTCTTGAGAAGCGGAACGATGCTGCGCCAAGCTCGTCCCGGTCAAGCCTGGTCCAGTCAGCCGAACTCAAGCAACGCGTCTCGATTGGTGTATGGGGCTTCGGGCAATGCTACCCGCCAAGTGGTGGGGTTGGCGATTTCGGAAGCACGAGAACTCAAGGGAGTAGGGAGGTTTTTTTCCATATCTCCCAGTCTGATTGCATCGCTGTAATTTACCGCGATTGCAGCTTTCTCGTCGGTACCAGTCACGGCTCGTACTTACCTCCAGATTCCCTTCGGTTATGCCTCCCCGTTCCTTTCTTTTTCCCTCCCAAGTTCACTCTTTCCTCCGTTTTGCGCCTACCTAGGTACTCTTTCTGACAATATCGAAGCTATCATCGGTGAGGCCCCAACCTTTCCTGAGCGATTTCTACCGGACTTCAACCGCCGCTCGAAGCCACGCAAACATGCGCCTCATCTCCCGGACGGCTTCGTCCTTAGTGGTGTTACTGGTCTGCCTCGGGGTTATCGCTGACGCTGCTGGCGTGCTGGAGATCAACGTAGTGTTTCCGCGGAACGAGACATATGCGCCCAATCCATGGTTCCCCGTCGTCTTCGCTTTCCGCAACGCCCATCTTGCGCAGTACCTCCGACCCCGCATCGTCTGGTCGATACAGAACGCGTCCGACGCGCTGGGAACCGTGCTTGGAGGCCGCGTCCATGAATTGTCCTGGGTCAACTGGACCATCCATGAGCCCTACTTTGTATATGGCTTCGTAGACTTGGAGGCCGCTGAGGGCCAGTGGGAGCTGTTTTGGTGGGGAGACTGGTTGAGTTGCGACTTGAGCGGCTCCGAGCCCGCTTTCAAGGTCAACAAGACCGAGCCGTCGCAGCGATCCCTCGAGTTCACCATCAAGGCTGGAGGGCAGGCGGTGGATCTCGTCGCAGCCACGGCAAACGATGACACAACATGCGTACAACCGGGCGTCGCCCTCAACGTGACCGACGAGACGAGATGGGTTGTCGACAAGCCGCTTGACCCTAACGATTACGGCGATGCGACTTGCGCCGTACTGGCCTCCTCGACCCCGACCCCGACCGCGAATCCTTGCCAGGTCGAGATCAACTCTGCCGCTGCCTCGAGCATATGGGCGTCCCTGACCGCCCGCCGTTGTGAATACAGGGACGCCAATGACAACCTGGCAGGTCTTGACTGCCTGAAGGACAATGCTGCCGAGCGGCTGGCCGTCGCGGGTGTGGCATGTTTGGCAGCGGCATTCGGTGCACTCGGGTACCTTCTGTTGTGAACATCGAACTAGACGTCTGGACCCCGCAACGGAATCGGCCCCACAATGGAATCCTGGCACCACCACCATTCCATCCATGACTAACTTCAACTCAACACAACTCATCCACTTCCGGGCCAAAATCAACATGACCGCTATCCGGAAAGAGCTTATTCAATTGGCTATAGCCGAGGTTCAAGAAGGCCTTTGTTCACAGAAAGATGCAGCGGAAAAGTACAGCATCCCACAGTCTACCCTGAACCGACGGCTTCATGGCGCCCACCCTCGACAACAAGCCAAAATCCACGAACAACGGCTCAGTCCTGTGCAAGAGAGGCATGTAGTCGACTGGTGCCTCAATGAAGAAAAGTCTGGAAGGGCTCCTAGACGCAGCCAGGTGGTGGCTTTCGCGCAGGCCATCTTGGCTGAAGGAGGTGATCATCAGCCCCTGGGTGCTAGATGGATCGACCGCTTTCTACGCCGCCAC